GGGTCGCGCCATGGCCGCGTCTCCGCACAGAGCCTCGGAGTTGGGGGAGTGGGAAAACCCGGTGTTTTCGTCAGGAAAAGTCTGTAATAACGCACCTGTTAAAGAAAGCAGCTCAGTAGGTGCCAGCGTGGTGGGGAAGCGCCGCCAAGACAAAAAAGAATGCCGTGCATAGAGAAGAGTTCATGAAGGCATCCCCCTCGGCTCGTGGGCATCCTTCTCCCTGTGCTGTACATGTGGGAATATGTGGGAATACAGATGCGGGGTTCAGTAAACTCCATGGCAAAACTGCCCATTCAGTTGCTTTGAAATTATCAAATCATCATTTTCTAACCCCCCTGTGATAAATCTGCTGATGGGATTTTTACAGCCACCAAATCTTTGGCCAGGGCTGTTGTTCCTGTGTCCTGTGCGGAGCTGCACCGTCACCAGTTCCACACAGAACAAAAGAGCTACCGGCACCCTCCTCAGGGTGCTCTTGGAGCAAGGGCTGCCTGCGCACAGGGCCCCGCAGCGTGCCTCTGCCTCTGCCTCCATGGCCGTGGGGCAGGAGCGGAGGCATTTTCCCAGTAGACAGCAGTTTTCAGCCTCCCTCTTTGCAAAGCAGACTCATGACAAAGGCAACAGAGCTGCTTCTTGGGCCTGTCAGTTGTAAGAGATGCCTCAAGATGAAGCTACGTGCAAGTTGTCTTGTTTAAGGGACCACTGCGCCATGCAGTGATTTACCCCCGCTGCTCTCTTCCGTGGCTGCCATGAGAATGGTACATGTCTCTCAGTTGGTGCTTTCATCTGGTGGTTTGGAATGGAGGTAATCACTTGTCCTCATACTGAGAATAACCTGCAGCAGCAGACAAAGATACTGGCTTCAGAGATAGACCCAAATCTATACAATACTATTTAATCTTCTTAGGGACTGCAGGTACTAAACTGGATTGGCTATTCCTCCAGTAAGATGTCCTTCACACCTGACCCTCCCTTGTGTTAGGACTCCATCAGCAGAGGCTTCGTGAAAATGGGATCATTTTCGTCTGCCTCTCTCTTCAACAGCAACTCCCACCTGGCTGTAAAGTGTCAAAGAAGCTTCCAGCACTTCGCTTGACCTTTGGTACTCCTCTTCCTCTTGGACAGCATCTTCAGGAGGTAAGCTGTGGAGGTGCATTCCAGATCTCTTGTGATTGAGACAGTCCAACCAGTGAGTAAGGAGCTGGTCAGGAGCTGACCCGTAATAGAACTGCTAAATTTACAAGACTAGAGGAATTGTGAAAGGCTGGAGAGCTCTTACAATCAATCCCAGCTTTGGATAAGATTCTGCTTGCAAAAAGACTTTTAAGCAGATAATTTTGGAGAGAAGTAGAAACAGTGTTTAAATAAGAGTTTGTGCATATGTCTTCTGTTCTCTGTGCCATTCTTTTTATATTAATCTTTGTTAGCAAATTAGCCTTCCTAATAACATGCAATTTCTAGACACATTATTCAGTTCTGCCATATGCATGTTTACTTTCTTTTTACATATGAAAAGCAAAGTTCATATCATCCATTTATCTAGGTACTCCCATGACCCTTTATTACTGTTGCCTTAGTGATCCTCCCAACTATATAGAAGAAGATAATAACGCCTGTCTTGCAAGAAATTTAGGCTGATTACTTCACTGGGTGTTATGCAAGAGGGTAAGTGTGTGCTAACTTGTATGAAGAGCTTATCTGAGAATGGCTTACAAGACTGATTCACATCCAGCTCGAGAATAATGTAATGTTCCCACTCAGGGGAAAAAATAATCCACAAAGAGTGATGTTCTAAGGTAAAACATTCAAGGGTAAATTCTGTCCAGCCCCAGATCACTGTCTTTATACTGTCACAGCTGCAGGCTCTGTCACTCTGGCATTTACAATTTCTCTCCCTTTGTAAATGCTGTTCAAGTAATTATGCAAGATATGCTAATTATCCTCTAATAAAAGGTATGATTACAGTTTCATTTTGCCAGCTCTGATTTCTACAGAAAGGCTTGAAACGATGTAGTCATAGAAACAAATGGATGCTCTGCATCCTCAGTTTCACTAGAACCAAATCTTCCTCATGCTCTTCTCAAACTAAAAGAAAGTAGCTCACCACTGGTTGGCTGTATTCTGTGGGAGTGCAAATCTGGAGAGCCACGGAGCAGCATAGCTGGGAATATCAAGCAGTTTTCATCCTGCTGTTGAGATTACTTATGTGAATAGCTGGTCTGTTAGGTGGGAGGTTTTAACAGCATGATCTTGTCTTCAGAGCATCATCTTTACTAGCACTTCAAAGTAGGTTCCTTGACAGAAGCCTCTCCACCTGCAGAACATTGATCCAATTGTTAATATTACAGAATAACAAGTGAAGTAAAACCACAAAATAGCTCCTGGATGTAGGCATTGAAGTGAAATCAGAATTCAGCTCGGGCTGGACTCAACCAACTCCTCTCTATTAAGCCAAACCTTTGATTATAAATCAGCATAGCCTACAGTCATAAAAAACCAGACTGAAATCTGAATCTAGATCTGCCTCATGTAAGTCCATTTCTTTTTACTGACAAAAGAACAGCAGTCAGTGAAGTAACATTACCAAATGGGGGGAAGTTGCAGTAATTTTTCTTTTTTACACCACATTTTCTTTTGCAGGATTCCACATCTTGTGTCACAGAGTTTCACTCCTGATGCTTAAGATCATCTACAAACTGCAATGGTGGATAGAAGTGCAAACTGCTGATTGATAGAAGTCTTACAGTGGCTTCAGGACACAGCTCTGATTTTTGAACCTTTAGGAAATGCATTTACCAAGGAGGAGGCGGCTACAACGGAACCGAATCTTTTTCTTGCTTGCCATAGTGTTGGTCCTCTCTCTCTACCAGCTCCAGTTCAGCCCCTCTGCTATTCCAGCACCATACTTAGCACCCCAACCCACAGACCCTGTCAAAGTGACCTCTAGAGACATCTCCAGCAATAAGACTGCCGTAACGGGCAATGTCACAGCAGCACCCAAAATAAGGCACTGTATATATGTGGATTCTGAGCCAACTGTGCCCATCACTACATCAGTGGGTACAACACCACAGCAAGACAATGGCAGCGAAAACTACCCAGATGAAAAGCCACCATACGAGTCCAAAGGAGAATATCCCCAGGACCTGTTCAGTGTGGAAGAACGCAGACAAGGGTGGGTTGTACTTCACATCTTTGGCATGATGTATGTATTTGTGGCCTTGGCCATAGTGTGTGATGAGTATTTTGTCCCTGCTTTGGGAGTGATCACAGAGAAGTTGCAGATCTCTGAAGATGTGGCTGGAGCCACCTTCATGGCAGCAGGTGGATCAGCACCAGAACTCTTCACCTCCCTCATTGGTGTCTTCATCTCACACAGCAATGTCGGCATTGGTACCATTGTGGGCTCAGCAGTGTTTAATATCCTCTTTGTCATTGGCACCTGTGCCCTCTTCTCAAGGGAGATACTCCACCTGACATGGTGGCCCTTATTTAGAGACATCTCATTCTACATTGTAGACTTAATGATGCTCATCCTGTTTTTCTTAGACAGTGTCATTGATTGGTGGGAAAGCCTCCTTTTATTGACTGCCTATGCCACATATGTATTCACTATGAAATACAACGTGCACCTAGAACAATGGGTGAAGCAGGAGCTGAGCAAGAAGCTAAATGCTGTGCAGGCAGCAACAGCAGAGCATATACGGAAGGTTGGTGTCCTTATTGTTCAGAGGGCAAGTTGGAAATAATTCGTTCTAGCGTAAACCACAGAGAAACTGCATCTCCTTCACAAAGTGCATATTCAAACAAAACCTCAGAATACAGGTACTGGTCAATAATTATGGTTCTAAAATGAGGGAAATGCAATCTAGATAGTAGAGAGTCTAAGAAATTAGAGAACACCACTGAAAGGGAGTTCTACCCGTGCATTTGCTGAAGATATTGGTTGTCTATATCTCCTGTCAAAGGCATGTGTGAGATTTTGCTTACTGGGTTATTGTAAAGGAGTTTCAAAAAACCACTTCCAGGAACACAGTCTGGGAACAAGATTGGATAATTCTGTATTAAAACAAGGGGAAAAAGGCTTCTGGTAAGAGGCATTGTCCAAGCCTCTTGCAGATAAGAGATGTTGGAGGAAATTCTCTTTGCCCTTTCTCAAGCTAAGTGTGTTGCTGGGATGCTGGTGGTATTGCACACAGCACACAGCTACGTGTGCTCAGAGATGATTCCTTATGCTGCTAGTGCTCACATAGGAGTTTTGTGGCTGTAACTACATGCTCCAGATTCGAGACCGGGGCCCTACCTTGACTTTTGAAGGCAGAGTTGACTCTTTATACAAACACAGTACCTGAAAGCATCCCCGGAGCCAATTGCCCTTTCAGACTAGCAGATCTGGCCAGGACGTGGTCTCCAGAATATCTGGGGCTTTGTCTTCTTGAGTGTGCCTGCCCACTTCTCCCTCCTCTTTCTCTTGGAGGCCACATGGTTTTCAGGACACATGGCTTTGGCTCTTTAAAAAGCAGCATCCATGCAAAGCCATTTGTATTAGCTGTCCCACTTTCTCCCAGACAGTAGCCTGAAGAGCTGTCATTAGGTCCTGAAAAAGCAGGTGAAGCAGTAGTGGTGTTCAATTGCTTTTGTTCTTGCTTGCATACAGAAAAGCACTGGGGCAGTTGCAGATGATGGAGCAGAGAAGCCAGCAGATGGGAGAAGGCTGCAGGTAGGTTCTAAGCAGCTTTACAGGGATCTGAAGTCATTGTATTCTGAAGCCCTCCCCATGTTAGGTTGTGCATAAAGGTGTCAAATTCTGTATCAAGAAACCTGGACCAAAGCCTACTTTGTGGAAAGAATCAGCCATGCTTGGCACAATATCCACAGCTTACTTAAAAGGACACCTGGATGAGTTGTATCCTCTAAGGAGTTTTCGTAAAAATTAAGAGACAGTCAGGCTTTCCAAGTGGATTTGAGTAGCTATTGTCAAATGAGTGCTATTCACTATATGCTTTAAATGAACATGGAGGAATTCAGAGCAATTCTTACCTGATTTCATGGCCAGTTTTCCTCCTGGGCTCCCAAAGCAGAGGTTGATAGGGTCTGTCCTTCCCCATAGCAAACCCTGAAGAGCTCATTCCTCTGCTGCTGGTTAACTTGCTGACCCTTCATCTTCCCCATGGCTGGCCAGCCATTGCATGGAGAGGCCTGATGTAGTGGCTGCAGATGTGTGTAACGTAACAGCTTCCTCGTATGGATGCTTCTTGTTCCTCTATGCACGTAACACACCTGTACTAATCAATGTTCAGTCAAAAGCTCATTAGGACTCTGGTGTTGACTGTAAGAACAGAGCACCAGAGCTTTCCAGGACGCCTGACATGACTGTAGTATTATCTTGTAGCAGTATATAAGGCTACAGTTATTAACAAGGTATAACTAAAAGCACTGCATGCTTTGATTATAATTTATAATAACATTGTATTGAGTCTGTGTGAGCCCAATGCATTTCATAGAATCATAGAACTGTTTAGCTTGGAAAAGACCTTTAAGATCAAGTCCACCACTAAACCATGTCCCTCAGTGCCACATCCACATGTTTTTTAAATCCCTTTTAAAGTGGTGGTGACTCCACCACTTCCCTGGGCAGCCAGGGAAGCCAATGCTTGACAACCCTTTCAGGAAGAAGTTTTTCCTCATATCCAGTCTAAACCTCACCTGGTACAACTTGAAGCCATTTCCTCTTGTCCTATCAGTTGGGAGAAGAGACTGAGAGAGGGTCAGGGTCCTCTGCAGAGCCTTTCACTAAGGACAGGTTGACCTGCTCTCTCGTGTCTCTTGCTGTGAATGGCTGGTACTGACAGCCACCCTGTGAACTTAAATGTAGAAGTTGCCTCTTGGGTTGGGGAGATCAGCCTCCATATAGATGCATCCCCAGGGCAGAAGCAAGCCAACGATGGAGATGTTTTGAGGAAGGAACTGCTATTGACTGCTGCATTGTCCCTTTCCATAGCCTGGATCAGCCTTACAGCGAGGCAGCAGCTCAGCCTCCCTGCACAACACTCAAATGCGCAGCACCATCTTCCAACTCATGATCCACACCCTGGACCCCCTGACAGACGGTGAGTGAATGCTCCACATCCAAGGGACTCAGGTTTGCAGCCCTGAGTGCAGAGCAGTTTAACTGGGAATGAAGCCTTTATATGTCAGGGTGTTGGGCATCAGCAACTCATCCTGAAATGCAGTTCTGAGTATGACAAATAATGTTATGGGGGTGAGCTCTGCCACAGTGGGATGTACCCTTTCTGACTGCATGGTTAGCAAGGACAAACTGCTCACATTTTGACCCTGCCATGCCTACTTTGCCTGTGCCAAACTGATTATTGCTGTGGTGGCAGCTGCTGCTTGAAGGGGCATGAGGGCATGTGAAGCAGTTGCTGTTGTGGGGGTCCCTGCAAGCAGTGACAGTCACTGCAGTCCCTCATCTTCTGCTGTCTCTCTGACAGCAGGGGCAAACTTGAGTTACAGCTTCCTGCATCTCATAGCATGTCACATCTTCCTTCCTCTTCTTAGCTCAGCCCTCACCCCAGCCTTGAAAGAGCAGCATTCAGTGCTGACTGCATTTGTGAGAAAGAGCTGCTCAACCTGTATCAGTCTCATCTACAGTGGGAAAATGAACACAGGGAGAGCTCATTTCCTACACACCTCCCCTGCTGTGCACACAGCCCCTCACAAGGCATAAACCTGCACAAGAGGAAATAGAAGTTAAAAGCCTCAAATCATCATATTGACATCAGTTAAAATCCCAGCTGAGATCTAAAACACACAATGAGCTCCAATTATGATGGTTAAGCCAGTCCATATATGATTTAGACCAGCACTGAACACCTCTAAAAGCTCACCTGCAACACTGTGGTATCATCACTACCACGGTAAACTGTACCCCCAGCACTTTGCAGGCAATGGGCCAAGGGCTGATCAGCTCAGGACTAAGAAATCTTATAAACTGGCCAGGGTGCAGAGAAGCCACATCTCCAGACAGACCCAGGGTCTTTGTATGCAAACTTTTAACGTGCTGCGTTGTATCACCCTTAATCCAAACTCATTGGGGAGGTTCATTTCCCACAAAATGGTGAATCATGTTAAAAAAAAAGCTTGGTTTTTAGATTTTTCTTCCCTAGCTCAGCACATGCCCTGCCCCTTCACTGCCCTACTTGTTCTAAAGAGATTACCCCTTGTCCATTCAAAGAGAGATTGAAGCTAAGCAGATCAACACCTCTCATGTCTATCACAGAGGTTACAAAAAGGACTCTTCAGATCAAAATCCCAGCTGCACAAACTGATGGAAGAACAAAGGAGGCTTGATAAGGACAGAGAGACAGATAAGTGTCTGCTTTGACAGATTTTAGTGAAGGCATCCTTCACGTTACTAACAGCCTAACAAGACCAGAATCATCAGGGTTTGCTCTACTGCCCTTGCCTCTGCTGGGGGTTTCAAGCCTTGCTAAAGGGGCTGTTAATACCACGACTTTTGCATAATGGATAAACGGGGCTGGAGGGGCAGTTTGGATCAGCCAGGCAAACTTTGAGTTAGTCTCTATGCGGCAGCCACTAGATGGGAGTGTGACCATATGCACTTAAGCAAGTCTAATACAACGTGATGCAAAGATGGGCTACAGTCTCTCCAAAACATGTTATTCTTTTACACCCATTACTATAATAACAACATTGAGTTAAGGGCAAAACCTCTGCCCCAGGTACATGCCTGTTCCACTCAACACTGCTAGAACAGAGAGAGCTCCTGATACTACAACAGCACAGCACTCAAAATCAAGGAACCAGAGTCCTGTGTATCTTGTAGAAGATCTTACCTTATCCTGATAAATTCATACCTAAAGAAAAGGGAGTCTGTAGAAAAGGAATCAGTTATGAATAGACCGAGAAAACAAAATGCTTTGAGGATCTTGGCCAAAAAAAATGATGCGACTTGCCCAGGATGACTCTGAAAGGGATGTGAACCCACCAAGGCATATGAGGGCTGCAAGCTCAGCCTTTGTGTCAAAAGCACTGAGCACCAACAAAGTCCTTCTCTTTGCAGCATGTGCAGCACTGTCAGAAATGCTGACACATTTCTGTAATTAGGTTGCAACACAAAAGATGATCCCAAATCAAGTGATCTTTCCCCAAGGGTCCTTGTTCCTTCTTGGCAGTACCCATAGCATCAGCACTTAGAGGCTGTGGCAAAGAACGCTCTACAAAAGGAAAAGGTTGCCAATTATTGCTCAGCAGTTCCTGACTTATCCTACTGAAATTAGGTTCTTTGTAGGGTTTCCTTCTCTCTGCTGCAGTTGTATTTTATTTGGGCAGCAGAGAAACCATTTCAAGGCAGCAAAGGTGCAAAATGTGGAAAACCAACCAGCACTGAGCCTGCACAACCAGCTTCCAGAGGCAGGGGTTTAGAAACACCAAAGTCTGACTACAAAGTTCATTTCACTGTCCCTAATGCAACAGTCCTTGTGTGGAGAAAAATGTTCTTGTTTGAAGAGTGGATTAAGATCAGAGTGTTTGATTTTTTTCTATGAGGAAGGGATCATGATTTCAGCCTCTGTCTACAGGGGACGAGGGGCTTTACTTTAGCAGTTCTAACATTTACGTTGCACCCTGAATTATAATTTTTGAGAAGCTTTTATTTTCAAAGTGCCTTTTTTAATTTTTTAAATGAGAAATTTCTGGTAACTTTGGGGTTTTCTGCACTCTCTCTGGAAGAGTGTAGAGGCAGAGCATGAGATCTTCTCAAGATCTTCCAGTTAGACACCAGAGGGAACTGCTGGGCAACTAAAGGGAGGAAGGATTTTTGAAAGACTGAGGAGCCCTCTCATTTCTGAAGCTCCAGTCTTACTCTTGAGTTGTTCTTTAAACTCTAGTCATACAGGGAAAAGACGGAAGCCTAATTTTACTTCTGAATGAAGAAGGTGGCTCCAGCATCAGGAATTCAGAGCTGTCCACTCTCAGCATACCCCAGTTCACAAGCTGTTCTGGAAATCAGACCAGAAGAGAGCAGCAGGCAGTGGTGCAGGCTAGCATGGAGCTAGGGAACTGAGGGCAGCTACAGTTTCTCCTTGCTTCATTAGCATTCAATCTCTTGTTTTAAGAGACTCATGATATAAATGGGCAAAAGGAATCATGACATATTTTTTTATACTTCCACTTTTAAACAGCAGAATCTCCAAATCCCCCAGATTCATGTCAAATTTTAAAGGTTCCTGCTGTTCATGTTGTAAGTTAGTGCTGTAAGATTCAATAGTAGAGCTAAAGAATAAAACAAACATAAGAGCCATACTCAAGGTATGGCTCAGCTGCCACCTTCAGACCAGCCTGGATGCTATCAATCCATAGGACAGGAATCTTCCTGAAGAGCATTTCAAGGCCCTGGACACAGACACCTCCAGTCTAATGGGCTCACCAGCAGTGACTGCCCTGGGGACTGCACCCCTGGGTGAGGACTGAGCCCATGGAACAGCAGAGCCCCAGCTGCCCTGCTCAGCTAATCCCCAGCACTAGCAAGGACTGAGTTGACAGATCTCCTTCCTCCCAGTGCTGACCTGCAGATCTGGCCAGTTTATAGCCAGCAATTCCTCCAGTCTCAGCCCATCCTGCATAAGTTGTGTGTCAGAGGAATTGACACCTTTTTAAGTCAGGCTGATCTCATGAGAACTGGATAGTGGCCTGGACCTAATCTGTTTATCCTGACAGAGATGCTCAAAGGCTCTGCTCGGGTCGGTGCTCACAGCCTGCAGCCTAGGTGAGGGCAGCAAGCCAGGAGCTGGAATCTATTTAAGCTCTTTCAGCCTGAGCCTGACCGCCCTGACCCTGCTGACGGAAGCTTTTGTAACAGCTTCTGGGAAAAGCTGAACTGAAAGATGCATTGCCCAGTGGTTAGAGGAGACTGGGAGCAAAAGGTCACCTCTTCATTGCCCTGCACCGATGGATATGCTTGTGCTTAGCATCAGTAGAGGGGAAACAAAGCAAAGTGCTTTACATCCCCTCTGGTAGGCTTCAGTATTGGCAAGGAGTTTGGAAGAATCTAGGCTTTTTAGTCACAACCAGCCTTTCAAAGAAGAGCTCATAGAATCATAGAATCTCAGTTTGGAAGGGACGTCAAGGATCATCTGTTCCAACCTTTCTAGGCAAAGCATGACCTAGACTAGATGTCCCAGCACTCTGTCCAGCTGAATCTTAGAAGCATCCAGTGCTGGAGAATCCAGAGCATGGTCAGCAGTACAGTAGATTAAACCAGTGTGGAAGTTAATTTACAGCCCAAGCATTTACAGCCCAAGACAAGCATGGCACAGCCTATTTCTTGTGGCTACTGTCTGTGCAAAACCTGTGACCCTCTGCTTAGTCATTGGGTAGGGCAGCTCAGAGGATACAGATGAGAGCAAAATGAAGCTTTTCCTTGAGCCAACAACTTGCTCATGTTCAATAGCAGTAGGAGTTACGATATTTGAGCACAATACCTAGCTATGGAAACACACAATAATAAAGCAGCTCAGCTGAGCAGAGCATGGTTTACAGTGGGACAAGTCCTTAGTAGTCCCAAAAATACAGTACTAGACACTGCACTGGTGAAGATCATCTCTTGGGTAGTCTGGGCCATGTTGAACCTGGACACCAGGAATTTAGATCAACTCCAGCAGAGGAGACATTCATGTTTCCTTAGAGAAATCAATCATTTTCCACATAATTGGAACATAAAAGGTTTTTATCTTTCCTTACCATCAGGTCACCAGGCTGCAAGAGCCTAGTAAAGCCTCTTCAGCAGCCATATGACAGAAGGAAGGTGTCATCTTCAGCTTGTATATAATCTACCCTGAAAAAAAAAAACAACAGTCTTTTGGGAACAAAAAGATACTGCACTGAAACTCCTCCTCTGTTCTTCCTACATTTGCTTCTTACGAAGTAGAGATATCCCCTGGAAAGGATTTCTCTTCCCTCTAGATTATCTTTTAAATTAGAAAGTATTAGTTACACGTCAAATTGCTGACATAATTGCCATAGTACTAAGCATTTAAATATAACAGCTATCATCAACTAGCAGCAGCCAAACTAGGGCCACAGCCAGAACAACTCACAAGTCAGTGCTGACTGCAATCCATGCAAGAGGAAAGGGGAGAGAGAGAGAGAGTGTGTGTGTGTGTGTGTGTGTGTGTGTGTGTGTGTGTTGGGGGAGACAGGTAAAGGGGGCTTTGCATAGCTGGCAGCTGCTGATGAATGCATCTTTCTCATCCACAGCAAAATTTAAAGACAGGGTTGACATCCTGAGCAATATAGCCAAGGCCAAAGTAGGAGAAGGATCAAAACCAGAAGGTGAGTGCCAGAAGAGTTAGTGCTGTTTGCTCTGTTTTCTGCTGCAATCCCCCACCTTCCCAGCACTTGGCACCCAAGGGCTGGCAAAGAAACACAATGGCCTAACACAAATCTTCTGTTATTACTGGTCACAGATGGCTGCTATAATAATGCAGCAGAAATCAATCGATGTGCGCTAACAGTGGGCAATAAAAGCCATCCCCATGGGAGTCTAGGAGTGGTGAGGCAGCATCTAAACACATAGTGCTACAAGGATATAATGTAAAGTGCCACCAGAAGGATGGAAGAGGGGAAACCAGGCCATTACAGATAGCAGTTGGGTGCTGCTGATCTTTGGTAGACCCTGCAAATGAGGTTTTTGTTAAACAAAGTACCTTCATTTTACCTTGGAAGTTTGGCACACTTGCAGAAGAGCATGGAAGAGTGCTCCAAGGAGAAAAGCCAGGCTCACTCTCCAGCCTGTCCACATCTTTTTTGTATAGCAGGCACCAAAACTGAACCCAGAATTCCAGGTGTGGCCTGACAAGCACAAAGTAGAGTGGGACAATGACATCTTTATCTCTGCTGGTGATGCCCTTGTTGATGTTCCCCACCATCCTGTTGACTCCTATCAAGCTTGTGCCACCAGGACCCCCAGGTCCCTTTCCAGAGAGCTTCTCCCCACCCAGGTTGATCCCAGCCTGGGCTGCACTCCTGGATTGTGTTTTCCCAGGTGCAAAACCTTACACTTGTTCTTGTTGAAGTTCATAAGGTTCTTGTTAGCCCACTTTTTCAGCTTGTCCAGATCATCCTGCAGGGTGACTCTCCCCAAGCGTCCACTTGGTGTCATCAGCAAACTTCATCAGGGTACACTTGATCCCATCATCCAGATCGCTTAAGAAGACATTGAGCAACTTTGGGCCCAATATGAATCCCTGAGGGACCCTACTTGAGAAAGGTCACCAATTTGGAAAGAAGCTATTTACTTACTTATTTCTATATTCCTCTTGGCTACATAGGTTACACAGGAACAGTGCGGAGGACATTGCAGTTATTTCCTTGTATGTGTCAGCACTTTTCTATTTGCGTTTGAATACCTACCAAATGATTAGGGATTAAAGTCTGGCAGCACATAAGAGTCATTTCTCAGAAGCCTTGAAGAGTATCAGTTCCCTGGAGAACACGATGCTTTACTAGAAAATAAAGGGGAAGCAAAGCTTTATATGCTCTCTGGCTTTTAAGGGTGGCTTTAATAAGATCTTCAGGATCCAGAAGGAAACAAGAAACACCAGTTGTAGATCAGATAATTAGCATTTCCCTGGTGTTATGAATGTGCCTCTTACAGCAGGTTCAGATAAGTCATAGAAGCATCAAGGTATCATTCTACAACAGGTGGGCCAGATTCTGCCCAGCTTTTACTAATCACAGTCCACAGTAGACAGAGGGGACAAACAGCAAACCTGAACAATCACACTGGGTTTAACATGAAATGGCACAATGACCACTGGACACTAAGGTGACTGAAACCAGTATTCCTTCTTATCACTCTTAGCAGAAGAGGAAAAGGCAGCACCAAGCAATGTTCAGGTAACTCCCGCCAGTGACTCTGAAGCCGGCAAAGAGAAACAGAAAGCAGATGCACCGCAAGATGCCCAGGTATTGAAATATTACAGGCAGTAAGAGCTCAGTCATAGAATCATAGAATCATAGACCAAATGTCACATGTCCCTCTTCCTTCTTCCCTCTCTAGGGCTTTGGGATAGGACCCAACCCATTTCCCATAACTGACAACTAAAAATAGACTGTATGTAGCAATGAGATATATTAACGTGCTAGCTGAAACATTTCATCTTCCAGACACAAATCAGATCCCAAACATGACACTGACTGAAACCGTTGAGTATCATCTCCTCAAATGACTCTTCTGAGGTCACAAGGGTACTCCAGCATAGGGGAAGATACTAGTAGCTGCCTATCCTGTGTTCACCAGTACACATTTCTGTTTTATTTCCCAAATCCCTCCTTTCAATTGATGTAATTCACCTGTTCTGATGAGGAAAGGCTTCTCAAGGACAGACAGTCCATGCTTCATTTGAATCAAAACCCCATCTAAAAGCTGGTACTAGTTAACAGATACAAGCTGGTTAACATAGTACACAGGCACTGAGATGGGCTATGCCTGGATTTTGTTCACCCTCAGCCATGGTACAGACATGACCTTTACCAAAGCAAGGCCATTGTGAATAAATGCTGTGCAGCTCCTTGTGTGTGTGAAAACATGCTGGCTCTTTCTTCCCCCCATGATCTACAGCCCTCCTCAGAAAGCGACACCTCAGAAGAAAGCAGCTCTGACAGCGATGAAGACAGCTCAGATGATGATGAAAACGAGGAGCCATTATCTCTGGAATGGCCAGAAACTAGGAAAAAACAAGCCATTTACCTTTTCCTCTTTCCCATTGTCTTTCCTCTCTGGAGCACTCTGCCCGACGTTAGAAACCCAGTAAGCATCTATCTTCCTTCTGCTACTGGATTCATTAACTGAGCTATAGATTTCCTCTTGGGAAGAGTCCCCAGTTCTAATTTTCCATGTCTAGAGTCCTTGCATACTTGAAGTGCTGTTAATGCTGCAGGGAGTGGAACAGAAGCCCTGGCTGCAGCACAGCACAACCACAAGACCAGCGACTACTGGTCAGCTAATCAAGCTGACAAATCCAAATACAATTAGAGAGACCAGGGTGCACCTTAAAGCAATTGACTGCAGTGAAGGGCTTCAGGTGAATATTTTCACTGGGGGTTGTGAAATTTTCCTGAAACTTTTCCATGTTCTTCTTTTCAAACTTGATTTTAACAGGACTCCAAAAAATTCTTTGTCATCACGTTTTTTGGATCCATCCTCTGGATTGCTGTATTCTCTTACCTCATGGTGTGGTGGGCTCACCAGGTGAGGGTTTATTTTCTCTCTGTGAACAAGACTATTTCAGAGCAAGTAGACGGAGGGAGAAGGAACAGTATCACTGTGGCATTTTATCTGATGAATTACAGCTGCAGTCATCCATCACCACACTAGAAACTTTGGTTTTTTAAGAACCCAAAAGGGAATTTTCAATTTCATTCTTTTCGCTTTGACAAGGAGTTTTCTTTTTCAAGAGCTTCCAAGGGAATTTGTGCATCAGTGAAAGGAAAAGTGCCATCAAGATTTATCTTAATACTGCCTTTTCATTGATGAATGCTCCTGTGCTGAACATAATTACCCCTCACCTAATTAAAATTCTAGGAAGAGAGAGGTTATGATTCTGGAAGCTGCTAAATGTTCTCAACTCCCAGTGCCTTAACATTCACCTGGTATTCTGGGAAATAAGACTTGCATCTTGTAGAATCAGACCCACCATTTGTACTTAGTGATATATTGCACATTCACAGCACAGTTGACCATGCCATAAATCCAAAGACTGACATTTCCCAAAGCTATTGGATCATACAGAGCTGATGTTAAATTTGGAGAGGGAAAGGTGAAAGACATCCAAAGAGGTGAACTTTGGACAGAAGAGTTGTGCTGTAGCTGACTTGACCTTTCTTAGTCTTGGCAACACTGATCCCATGCCCAGTGCTCCAGAGCAAACTCAAGATCACCATACACTGTGAAATTTAACTTTTTATCCAACAAAGCAGAAAAACATGACCATGTTTAAGGGGATTCAGAATATTTTAGCTCAAATACAGCATAAAGCCTCAAAAGAACAGACAGAGCAATTAAATTCTATGTTCCAAAACTAACAGCCTTACCTAACTCTGTGTTTATTAGGTTGGAGAAACAATTGGGATATCAGAGGAAATTATGGGGTTAACCATACTGGCAGCAGGAACATCCATCCCCGACCTTATCACCAGTGTCATCGTTGCTCGGAAAGGTTTAGGTGACATGGCTGTCTCCAGTTCTGTAGGCAGCAATATCTTTGATATCACTGTTGGGTGAGTATTAATTCAGTGTTGAAAGATACATTTCTTCTGAAATAGAGAACTAGCTGCTTTTAGTCCAAATATGCTCTTAATAACTTTCATGTTAGCTGTAATTAAATGAAGGGCAGCTGGGCAACAAGTTACAGGGGTTTTTAAGCCTAACCCAGCCAGGAAAGAGATTTTTATAACTTAGTCCATCATCTTCTCCTAATTCTGAATCTACGGAAAATGATTGTATTTTTGTCTTGGAAAGACAACAAGTCTTTGGCTAACGTCAAAGATTTACAGACAGGATACTTACCTAGTCACTCAGAGATCCTGTGCAATCAAGGCTCAGTACCTGCGCCTGTATATTTCATCAATAAAGCATCAGGACATCCTTACTATGGCGTGCTGAGACACTCAATTCATAGGTGTTATTTTAAAAACCCTTTTCCATTGCTGGATTGCATTATGATAGCTCAAGTATTATCCAAATGCAGTTCTTGACATGAACAACATCAGTTTTAGATTTATGCTGAGTTCCACTGAATGCAATCATGCATTTTTTTCCTCTAACAGTTTGGGAAAATTGCTTTGTTATGGTGCAGAAAATGAACTGCCTTAAAGCATTTATTTCAATTACTTTTCCTTTACTTGCAGTTTGCCAGTTCCTTGGTTCCTTTACTCTATCTTCAATGGACTCAATCCAGTTGCAGTCAGTAGCAATGGTTTGTTTTGTGCAATTGTTCTCCTTTTTCTCATGCTCCTCTTTGTGATCATCTCAATCGCTGCATGTAAATGGAAAATGAACAAACTGCTGGGGCTCACCATGTTTGCTCTTTACTTTGTGTTTTTGATCATCAGTGTGATGTTAGAAGACAAGATAATATCCTGCCCAGTATCTGTGTGACATTTGGATGCTGCAGAATGTCTGTAAGCACACCTCAAAATCAGAAGGGGTTTAAGGTAGCAACTGTTCTACTGAAAAAAAGCAACAAGAATTATAACAAACTTACTGAAAATAAAGTATCTTTAATATAATAAAAAAGTCCCAAAACCCTCAAGTGATATATCAGCCTCTACTATTTTTCCTTAGGATCGGAAAAGGTCAGATAATGGAATGACCATTATCAAACAACATACAAGTTTAGGCAGTCATGGAAAGGCTGGCATCGATAGATGCATGAAGTTTTCAGTACAGGCAATCCCCTCAAGTTAATGGAGCCAATTTTCAGCACAGAATATTTACTCATTACAGAAGTATTCCCAGGAACACACTCTCAATTACTCCACAAACTGCTCAAACTCTCTGAAATCAATGAGCTTTACTTCTGCAGGAACAGAATCAGACCTCTATAGCTTGCCTTTACAGAACTACTCTGCTTAAAATCATCGTGTGGCCACATATTCTGCATCTCAGAAGCAACTCCCTCAAATCACACGTGAGCAATGAGTACAGCTGTCCCCAAGGTCTGCGCTGCAACTAGTTTGCTATGATTGCCCTACTCAGAGGTAGTTTTCATCCTTTCAGTGAATGCCACTATAAAGCATCTACAGCTGGTACTCTACACATACCTCCAGGAGGGAAATAGGAAGAACATGATGTCCTTCAGAGGAAATGCTTTTTCCTGGCCCTCTTCAGACTGTAGGAAATGCAATATGTAGGTTTTCAAGGAGAAAGCAAAGCAGTAAGAGTTATTTCTGCAAGCAGAACAACATGGGATGAGAGCTGCAAAGCAATCCTGAAAGCTGTCCACATGGCTCCTGTGAAATCTGTACCTGATCTTGCAATGCAATCCCTAAAACTCACTCTAAGTGCCACCAGTAGAGGTGTGATGTCATCGGGATTTACATCTTCCTGTAACAAGATTAAGCGGATCTGGGGTTAGAATACAACCTTACCACTAGCAAAAACTAAATCCAGGAATCAGAAATACTACAACAAGAAGCTGATCTGCTTGAATTTTGTTTTCATCCTGACACTAATCTCTGAAATGCACAGATTATTGTACCCAGCACTAATTCTTGGTGTTAGCACTGTCTTCTACATAACCACTGTGAAAAAATGCCACTGACATCAACTACCAACAAACCACATGGGTTTATTGTTAACAATGCCTCATATGAGTGAAAAATGGAGTTAGGAGTTGCAGACATTTCTGTTGTTCTAATCCATCTAATAAAATGTTAATGAAAATAACCAGAAAGATTTTCAGCTTTTTATTGACTCACTGTAAAACTTCTTTTTTGGATGAGACAGAAAAGAAAACCCCCTTGACATTGTGAACACTGACTTTGCATATTTTAAAGGAACTACAAACCAAAGCAAACATCCAACATACTGGGTTTTGGTAAATAAAATTTAAACATTACATATTTACAAATCTACAACCATTCATTTAAAAAGTGCTGCTTGCAGACTAACAAAGTACCATTTCTAAATCCCAGTGAGATATCATCCAGAAATACCCCTCTCATTACTATTTGCATCTCCCATTTGTTATACAAAGATTTTACATGCAGGAATTTTCTCTTTCTTGGGGTATAAATAATTTAATTCACCAGTGGAATTCTGATTCATCAAATTGTAACTGTACCAACAGCAAACCTTCTCAAAATGGGAAACAGTTAAGCAGTGTCAGAGAAACAGCACAATTCCTATTCACATTTCAGCATTTCATCTCCAATAATTATTCCAGTGGAACCATAAGTAAAGCAAAATATATATTGCACTGCAAATGTAAAACCTTTGTTTCAGGTTGGTTTTGACATAAGCATTATTTAGTACACAAAAGGAGAAAATTCAGTTCATACAAAATTTTAAATTGAAAATATGTCTCAAATATTTTATTTATCCATCTTTGTGGTATTGGAAAATATAGTCAAATTGCTTCTCTAATAAAGGACAGTGAGAGTTGAAAACTGTTTCTACATTGAATTCTCTGATGCTTAAAAATTATCCACCTCAGGACCTACATTTTGAACATTATGACTCAAATGAGGAAAGTTTCCCACTTAATCACTATTCCAACTATATTTCATTATAGTATCTCTAAAGTGGACTGACTTGCCACAGACTTTATAAAACAATTCATTAAGTATAGTGATGTCACTTGATGAATTACTACGTGATACAGTAATTTAAAAGCACACCCAAATAAACATCAGTGTTTCAGGAGTGCCACTCTGAGGATGCAAGGACACAGTGAGATTGTTTGTCTGAAGGATGCATATAGAATCCTTCTCACGGTACAACATATACTCTTCTGATAATACTGGCAGGTCTTGATATTTGAATGAAGTGACAAACTTGTTTGCTTTATAAGTCTGAAGAGAGTTGGAAGTACTTACAACGAAGCTGGGACTAGAATGGAGAAAGTGGGCCACGTATTACAAGTGTTGCAGCTATTCCTGTGTTAGCACACACAGTTGCAGTGTTATGCCCTAGTAAGTGAGAGGTGGTTAGAGACCAGGCTCCATTGCTTCTGCCAGACTCAAGCAGGAGGTGTGAAGCTCACTTCATAGCTCAGTATCTCTAACACACCATGGCAGCTCTGGAAAAAGCACTTGCCCTCCTTCATGGCTTGAAGGTCCTATAAAACAGTGGCTGCCCCAGGCAGTAAATGACAGGGGAAGCAGAACTGCAAAGAGCTTGGAGCACTATCTTACATACAGCACAAACATGTATGAGTTTATATACACAGCAACTACTGTATGCAACTTTTACTTGGTAAATACAGTGTACCTATGGTACAGAGCAGAGCAAACATGCACACTAACAGGTACTTACAACGAATATGTTAAAAAATAACCTGGTGTTTTCCACAATAGTTCCCAAGAATGAAGGGGGGGTATGTATCCACCATGTTTACCATGTACCTGGGTGAAAAAAAAAAAAGCTACATTTCATGCACAAGCGAGGCAGTACAAAAAGGAGCATCACAAATTGTTAAAATAAATTAAATGTGAAAAATGTTGGTAAGTGTAGCATTGCTAGCTCCACCTCAGGGTGGGGGGATACTTTCATAAAGGTCAGCTACATCATTAGCAGCAAATTAGAGAGGAGGTATTACCCCATGAAAGCTGTATCCAACAAGACTGTATCTTGTAATCATCATCAGCACATAGCTGCAGCTCTACCAACTTTAAATCCTTTCTCCTTAGGGCAGCATCCTCTTACTACTTTACAGAGGTCTGGGAGGAGGTTACACAGGGCTTCATAGCAGCATTACTTCCCATTTAAGCCTCTGACAGGCTCGCTGTTTCATTTAGTAAAGTAAATGTGAGCATTAAAGTTTCTCTCCTTTCTGCCTAACTAAATACTGCTGTATTATTACACTTGCAAACTAAAGAGCTCTTTAAAAATACCTGCTGCTAGGCAGACTGAAATACAAAATCTAATGTAACAGCTGAGTATTTAGAAATACTGCAACAGCAACAACTAAAAGAAATTAGAATTGGAAAACCACTGAGATTACTTAAAATAAAGCTATTTGTTAAACCATGGTTTAATTTGCTTAGGGTGTTTTATACAATTCAGTGTCTGGTTTCCCACCTCCATACAAGACTTCTGGTATTTTCTCTGTGGCCTACCTTCTGGTGAGGAGTTGCTATGTGACAGAGCACAGAACACTTTTTTTACACATCTAGAACAAGAAAACGTGAGTCGAAAGCCAGGACTCCACCACAAGGACTGACACAGCGTGTTTCCTCACAGAAACAAAACCTAACAGTTGGTTTGCCTGTGAAACAGAGACCAAACATTCCAAGTACATTTAACTATGCACAATATGCCCCAATAAGTTACATTCCCTAAATATTCCCTGTAGCAAGTTTGCTTTATGTACTTGAGTTAAAAGCTTTGGATTAGCATTACGTACGTGTTGCATCTAGTGTGTTTCAAACACATCCACCAAGACTTCAAACACTGCATGATTATGAAGAACTTCTTGCAGGCTGTCGTTTGCTTTGTTTTACATCTGCAATGAGGTCACATTAACAAGTGCCAACAGCTGGGATGGCCTGATTCCATAATGTAATCTGTAGGACTCTTCAGTATGCTTTCTCTTTACTAGGGAGTGAAGGGAACAGGCAAGGAAGAGGAGGTTTCTACAGAAGTGTTTTAGAGACATCCATGTGTTCGTAAGTAGAGTTTTACAGTTTACCATACCTTCCTCCCGATTGCTGTGGTAACACATTTTCCATGTGTGCATGAGAGAAATCCTGTATCTAGAGTACTGCCTAGGTGAAGGTTAACATGTTCTATTCTGCTTTAAAAACAAATCACTCTTCAAAAAGTAACTGGACAAGTTACTATAAATAGCAGTGTACTGCAAAAAAAATAAGCACTGTATTGCTTCTGCAGCAAGTCCATTTAAAATTCACTCCAGTAATTTAAAAAAATTAAAAAAATATCAACTTACTATAAACAATTTAAAATATGTATAATACAACTTTGTATGCTCTTCATAACATCATGAATATTCTATGTAAACAATAGATTCTGAAGGATATACTTCGCTCACATTAGTTTCAGTGCATTGTTTCTGTCCACCTGTTAATTTTTAAGAAGGGAACTGTAATGTGTTGTCCCAAGTGAAAGAACTGATTTTGTTTAGAATCCTCCTTTCCACACGTCGATTTGCAGAAAGGACAAGGGACAGGGAAATATTTGGCCCATTTTCCACTCTGTCCATTTCCACATCTGTAGGTAGGCCTAACCTTTCCAAGGCCTTCTGCCGCAGTACATTCGTACGTAAGTTCTTGAACACTGAAGACTGAGATGTTCCTTGTGACTGAAGTGGTTATTTTACACAGGTATACATCATAGGTATCACCTCTTTAGCTAGGTATATTTAAAGATATGGTTCTCCAAAAATCTTTCTGCATTCCATCACTCCAGTACTTGGTGGTCTATCACAATTATGAGTATTCTTCACTTGACTAGCTGTGAGACGATCATAGGCCATTTTGTACTCTCTGTCAAAAGCATCTGTAGAAAGAGAAAAACAACTTCTGTACACCCTGCTCAAAACCACAACCCAAATACAATGACAGGTAGTATGCTCATCATCAGCAAATAACTGTAAAGTCCTTTTTATTCAGCACTTGCTATAGAATGGCACACACAGAATCACAGAACATTTGGGGTTAGAAGAGACCTTAAAGTTCATCCAGCTCCAACCCCTTGCCATGGGCAGGGACACCTTCCTCTAGACCAGTTGATCAAAGCCTCATCCTAATCTACATCTAATGTACAGATTTATTTATTTATTTTAAGCTGAAAAACTACTTTACAAACATACATCATCTATGCTTATTCAAATAACTTATAAAAAACTTACCTATATCAATGTTATCTCTTCCTAGGGCAACAAGTGAAAGAAATAGTATTTCTCTGTAAAGACTCCTGAAATTGGAAAAAGAAATGGCAGTTTATATGCTGCAGTAATATACCACCAAACAATCTGCATTAAAAACGTATTCAAGCATTTACAGTTAACTTATTTTTTAAAGTGGCATTTTCAACATAAATCCTGGTTGTGAGCTCCAAAATACCATCATTTATGACCTCTGGAGATTGCCCTGGACTCCCCAGGTACTGACATCACTTGTGGTAGGTCCTTAAGGCATCTACTGGAAATTTCACCACGTGCACAGAGTGAAACATGCACTGAGGGCGCTCAACCAAATTCGATTAAACTTGGCAAACAGGTCAGGAGCTTGCTTTTCTTCATTTCTACATTAGCTTGAAGAAGCAGGCAGACCAGAAGGAAACACCTGGCCAATGCTCCAGCTGTTGAAAAGACCAATTTATATCCTATTATAAATAAAAATCACTAAATCCAGGCACAAACCCCAAGAATATTTACCAGACCATGTAATAAATTTGAGAACACTGCTGAAACCCACTGCTTTTTCCTTTAGAAACCACACTACAAGAATATAACTCATATTACAATAGCCTTATTGTTGCCCAACTTCGCTGCAGTCAGGTGTGTTCCTGTTCTTACCGCTGTCTTTTCATATGTGGCCATTTGTTCAATCTCTCCAATATCTGACTCATTGGTCCATACACATCATTCATCTTAATGCTTTTCACCATACTTCTCAAGAGCTCCTGATTAAAGGAGTCATCATCTTTCTGCAACAAATGGACCATCGGGTACTTCTGGGCTGAAAAACATTAGAAATGTTGTAAGAACAAATATTCTTTGTGGAACAAGTAGAAAGTTGTTTAAAAAAGGTGGGAGTTTACACAAGCTGTGAATGCATTGAGATCTATGTGGTGAACAAGGAGCAATAAGCATCAAGGCAAAATAATATCAACATAAGAAACAGAAAGCACATAGGAGAAAACAGCTGCAATGGGTCATGAGCATTTTCAGGCATATGATCCAACACTGGCAACAAAATGCTTAGGAAGCAAATTCTAAAAATAAGAAAACAAGCTAAGTGGATGAACTGTCATAAGTTCTGTGTTCACTGAAACATATTCCCTCTTACTCCTCCCTTCCCAATGAAGAAAAAGCCACCAGAGATACTGGCCAATGATTTGAAACAGATGTGCTGGAAAACTAAACACGTTCAAGCAGTTCACTGCTAAACATACAACCACCCTCCCTCCCAAAACAAGTTACACCAACTTAGAATAGCAACACCAAATTTAACACTCACTCTCAAACAAAAGAGTGCGATTTTGACCTGCAAGACAAAAAGCAGTATGATCAAAACCCAGTTATGTATCTTGTGTGAACTATCCACAAAGACATCTTTTTTCAAAACACATTCTTCAGTTGCTCAACATGAGCATTGTTCTTTAAAAAACCCCACCAAAAGACACAAGAAACCAAGCTTACTCTGAGCATTCCACAATATATACAGAGGCTGCCTTGGATCCTGGTGCAATTTCATATTGTCCCATAGCATCTGAATAAGAACATATTTACTGTCCTCTGACATACAGCTTCGTGGAATCTGAACAGAAAAATGCATTCATAAATATATTTCAATAAAAAGTCATGACAAAGCACTTCTGTATTTCAAATATATCTTCACATCTATAGGCTTCATGGTAAAAAGCTTTAATATTAAAGCTGCTGTAAACCTGAGAAAGTTAAATCTGAACAGGATGTCAGCGACATAGCAAAGGAGTATTTTGCGTATCCTCCTACAGTCTTATAATCATAACTTCCTCCTCCTTCTACTGCTTAACTAGTCATCAAACTGCAATAAAACCAACTAGAAACTTATCTTTGTAAGTGAAGATCACAAATTACAGTGTGACTAGTAAGACCTAAACACTTATCCCACACAAGTGCTGCTGAGCCCAAGTCCCAGAGTTACGCATATTATCCTTCAACTGACACATTCTTTACCAGATCAGGACCCAGCGTACTGTAAGACACATTTCTAAGAGTTACTGAATTATCTAATCATTTCCTACATGGGAAAACAAGCATTTCTCATCTGTCAATATGGTTCCATACCTTGGAGTTTTTGTTACAGTGCTCAGAAGAAAGTATTAATCCTGGTAAGTTGCTGGGCAAGTCCAAGCGTCTGAAATACCACACCAAATTCCAGAACACAATGGGGTGATGATCTACAAAGTCTGCCACTGTTATTGCATGATCCCCTTCATTTTCAAGCAAGCTCTCGAGTTCTTTCCATACCACTAGAGGACTGAGATAAGGAACCGTTATAGGATCAGGACTAGGTAAGCGCCATTCTAGGCCCAGGGAATCCTATGGTAAAAAAGGAAAAATGCCATTAGTTAGAATGTCATTATCTTTACAAAGTCTTGTGAATACTTTTGTTCCCTTCGAGACACATCAACATGTAAAAGCTACAATTTATATTCGTTTCAATAACAAAACCTAGCATTTCTCATAATTTTGGATGGTTAATTCTGTTCTAATTAATGCTAGTTCACATTTCTCTCATCTATAACACACTTAAAATGACATTTAAGGTAGAAAAACTACACACTGTTGGTCCTTGCAAAGTAGCAGGCAGGCTACCAGTAGGAATGATATGGCTGATCTTCTGGTTTTCCTTCTCATCTTCTTCCAGTGGACCAAAAGTACTGATACTCCTTGCTACAGGGTGACTTGTACATTCTGACCCAGAGGTATTTTGTCTTCTTCCTGAGGGGATCTGGATACTTCTGGCACAACTATTCTCATGCTGCTTAGATTTGCTAGGGAAGAGGAGGGAAAAAAAAAATAGAAAGGTTAAGAATCTCAGCTTTTTGTTTTATTCTGAGTGCTCGAACATGTACACAAACAGACAGAAATACACTGGAAATAATGGACCTGACAACCTCAAATTGTCATCCACCACACTCATTCATGCTACAGTGCAAGTTTTACATCCAGTGCACTGATAATAAACACAAGCATCCTAAAATGAGTGGATAAAATTTGCAGAGTTACAGATGCCTACATGAACTGTTGTGTTAGGAATGAAATGGTAAACACCATGCTGAAAAAGCATGATGTGGCCAAAGGAGATAAGGGAGAGGCAGCAAGAAGATCCTCTCTCAAATCAATTTCTGCTCTTCAGAGAGTATCTTATTGAATTTATTTCTGTTGACAAGGAAAACATGCATATCCACAGAGAACCTGAGCAATTTCTATGCAGAAAATGCAGGTTTACCTGTTTGAATTTATATCCTCTTGAACAGACATTAGAGACGTAGCAAGGCCAACAGTAGCTGCAGTGTTACAGGACTTCCCGCTCTGATTTGAGAAAAGTGATGGGTACTGCATGTTTTCTGTAGAAGGGCTGGACTTCAGGAAGTAACTGCAGGGAAAGAAAAAGCTTAATATCATTAAAAAGAAGAATCAAAACGAAACACCACTTCACAATTATGAGCATTCATAATTGAGGAAAATTAAGACAATGTTATTACCGTCCAGGTCGCCGGAGATCTCTGATTTCTATGCTTAAAAAAGGCAGGAATAAATTGCCACAGAATGGACACGTGGTGTTGAGATTTGAATCATCTGCTGTCCAACCTGCCATGATTTCTTCATCATGAACCAAACAGTCACAAGTTCTACATCGTGAACAGCTTGAGATGAGGACCTGCATACAGCAGAGAACAGAACTCCACTGTCACACATTCTCAAAACTACTACTCTTTTACAAAGCAGCTAAAACTATCACCAAAATATTTGCCCTTAGACGAACACTATCTGTTCCCAAGCTTTAGGTTAGAACATTTGGGTTTAAACTTATGTATTTCACAACAATTATTACATCTTAAATCCAAACTGCATTAGCATATGGCAAATGACTGGAATGAGCATGATCTGAAAAATGTATTAAATACAGGTCTACGTTCTGTCATAGCAAGTAGACTGAGGTCTGGAACTATGCTCATGAAATAAATATACTTTAGCTAATGGGTTAGGTGGTCCTTGTATGGCTTCCCAGAGGGAAACCAGCCAGTTATTCAATAATATTCTTAACAATAACATGTCATTTGTAACCTCTTTGCAAACAGGGGTATTTATGCAGCTACATAAATCATTCTTAGAATATAAGCCGTCTCCTGTAGTGACTGCCAGTGTAATAGAAATGAGGGGGGAAAAAAGAAAGGATGAAAATGACCAGTCATTAATCCAAATCCACCAAAAGAAATAAACAGAAAAGGGAAGGAGAGCCACCCAGAACCAGTGTAATAGTGAAAAGCAAAGCACTTTTACAGGAAGCTACAGTAAGAAATAGCTAGTTATCTATTCTGTATTTTTAAACGTATAGTGCTATTTAAGTCTTGGCATTTTCACTTCAAACAAATTCAGCTGCCCAAGGGATTGGGATGCCTGAATTCAATGGCATCCAGTTCTCCAACTCTTGAGACCTACAGCTTTAAGGACCAGAGATGTGACTGCAATAAAGACATTTCTAGAGCAGGATTTGAAATGAAACCTACTGTGTCACAGAAATACTTATCCATCTTTCAGTGGATTAATTTTAGGCTTTGAACTTCACCAAGATTCAGATAGCATTTATATTTTAAGACATATGCTTTTAGTGTATCAATTAAAATCAATAAATCATGCTGTACCTCCATAGCGTAGTTCTGAAACACACTGGTACTGCTTGTACTGCAGGAAGATATCAACTCTGATTTGTCAGGTAGAGGGAACTTCGAAAGAGAACCTATTAACAGAAGAAATCCAAAGTCTTAGTTACTCAGAATATGCTTTTTTCCTGGTCAAACAATACTGTACTTATAAAATGTGTGATAGAAAATGCAACAAATAGATATACGCAGACAGAAAGAAACGTGAAGCTGGAGTGTGAGGCTGCCATCTGCCCAGCACCAGCAATGTCAGGAATAAAACCTACCAACATAGAAATTCCATATGTTCGGTTTTCTTCTTTTACAACAGTTGGTAGCTTGGAAACAAATTTTACAGATTAAGTAATTCATACCCACACTTTCTGTCTGGACAAAAGCTAGGCAAGGATAAGAGGTGCTGCTTGTGACTGCAGATATCCCTGACCCCTCTCTTTGCCACACTAAATGAGCCAGGCTCCCCTCAGCCTTAGGATGCCCCAGTCTCCTGGCCATGGTGGATTCTCCACTGCCCTTCTCTAGTTCCTCCCCATCTCACAACCTGGGGAGTCAAATCTGGGCATGCTCTTCCAGGTGCAAAGTGGAGGGATCTAAGTAGACAGATCTTCCTTTCATCCTGGTTCAGCTTAACACACCGTAGTCCATAATGACAGTACAATAGAAACTGATTCAACACTCACTGCCAAATATTAGGGAAAAACCAAAAACCAAACCCCAAAGTCTGCCTGATGATCAGCTTCAACATAAAAATGATAACAATTTTCCAAAAAGGACTTTTACTACTTTTAGAATGCAAAATCAGACTAATAAAGATACCATTTGAAAGCTTTTACAGATGTTTTCTGGAGCTGTACAGCTTACACAAATAAGATGATTATATCAATACTGAAGGACCCAAAGGGTCTCCTATTTGCACGGCTGTGGCATCCAGAAACTTGTTCAGAGACAGGATGCAAAAAGGACTACTGACTGGGATGATCCCAAACTGAGAATTATGAGAGAACAACTTGTAAAACTGGAATATTTTTGTTCAGATTGGTGCAATGCAAAAGCTGTCTCTTACCACACTGGTCAAATTGTTTTGATGAGCCATCATGGGAAGCCGAGCTTTCTAGGCTTGTCCTGCTGAGGCCAATTCCCTTAATTTCTGATGTGGTATTCTCCTGAGGAGAAGCACTTTCAAAATCATTGCAGACATCTTCATCAGTTAGAGAAGTAGATTCCGAGTCCAGAGCTCCAAGAGATGAAACACTTGCTCGGTCTGAATTTTGATCCTGAGAGAAGAAAACAATTTGCACTGAGAAAAAGGAAAGGAAAGCAAAAAGTATTTCTGAAAATAAGAGGTAGCCTCCTCTGGCTCAGTAAATTCAAAGCATGAACTTCTCTCCTTGGAAAATCATTTGGCTCAGACCTGTATTCAGAACCAGTGTGAAACAAGGCAGTTTTCACTCAGGGTTAAACAGCTACATCAGGATTCTTGTAAAAAGATCTCTCAAAAAAAGAAGAAAACCTAAATTGAAACTTAAAAATTTTAATCCTGTAACTTTTTCCCACCATTGCTATAAAAGTTATCAGGAGCCACAAGAACACATTAGGATAGGGAAGGCATCCTTAACACTGAGTTAATTAGTCTCAGATCAATCTTAAACGCATTAGGACAATACACCAAACTGTGTCTATCTTCATTCCCAAGGACTGGGAACAAAATGAGCTTTGTTTTGAGTTGGTATCAGCAAACAACATTCGAACCAAATGGCTTTAGTTCAACATCAGCCTTAAATCACTTTGGTAATCAATATAAACAGATTTTCCTTTTTTCATAAAAGCAGTAAAGTCTTAAGACCATTATTGTTTATTTAAGCATTTTTTCTTTAGGTAAATAGGGGAAGGCAGAGCAGCTTCCTCTGCCCTGTCACCACACTATGCTACATTTATGTTTTCCCATTAAGTATATTCTGAGCCAAAATTTTATTCGATTCAGGACAGTAAAATTAGGGTCCTGGCAATTCAAACATGATTAAAACAGCTTAATGCACATAGTCTACCATGAAGCTTATCATTCAAAAGGCAGGTTCATCACGTAAGAGTCAGTGATTAAAACTTTACAAAGCTTTTTCCTTAATTTATAGAACTTAAGGTGTTTGGGGTTTTTTTTTGGGGGGGGAAGTAGTTATAAAAATTTACCTTTGAGGATGCAGCATACATTGTAAATTTTGAGTACCACTTGCTAGCTTTCTCTGCAACCCCTTTTCCAGCAGAAAACATGCTGCTTTTTAGAACATCAAACTTGGGTGTTAACAGCGTATCCAAGTTGAATGACGGTGAAGACACAAGTGTTAATGCACTAGTTGCATCCTGTGGCTGTTCCTTTGCTGGACTATTTGGGGAATAAGCTGGGGAGGACCAGAGCCTGTCTCTTGTCCTTTCTTCATTTCTTGCATGATAACTCTTGGATTTGATAAGGCTGGATGGCCTTGGAGAGTTTGGGGGAAGGCTGGACCTCCTGCAAGATTGGATTATTGTTGGGCTTTTTTTATTAGCATTTCTGTCATCAAAGGGCTTTTGCAACTCAATGCTTGGGGCACGACTTGACAAAGGGCTGCTCATATTGTTCATGTACATGACTATCTCTTCAGCTAAATCTCGTCTTGCAGATGGAGTAGAAACACTTCTATCATCATCATCCTCCTCTTCCTCTTTCTGCTGTTCTGTCTCTGCAACCAGCAGAGACAGCGGATCAAATCCAGTTTCAACATCTGTCTTTTCAACTGGCTTTACTGGAAAGCTGCTCTTTCTTTGCAGCCTTTTGGATTTTTCACTGGAGGGTTTCACTGCTGTAGCTGTTTCGGGTTCTGCATCCAAGTCTTCCAAATCAAAGATAACAGGAGACTCTGTTTTATCTGTAAAACTGCAATCAAAAGCTGCGTCTTCATCACTAGATTCTTTCTCCAGGCTTTCTCTCTTAGATCCTAAAGAAGAACTTCTGATATTAAGAGTTTTTGGCCTTATGCTTTTCTGTAATGCACTAGATAGGATTTTGGCGTCAGCTCCTAGTTTTTCAACCATTTCTCCAGGGTTTGTTTCCTGATTTATTCTATTCATCATGAGTCCCACTAAGCCATCTCCACTCAGGTTACGGTTCCTGCTTTCCCATGGTATCTCCCTTAAGTCAGGTTCTACTGCACTTTTATGTCTCTTTCTTAAGGATTTACTTTTTATAACTTCTGCTTCACTGGCATCCTCAAAAGATGATGTAAACAGCAATCCTACAGAACTCTCTGAAAAACAGATGAAACAGTTCTTTACGTCTTGCTATGCAGGAAAACTAAACAAAAGCACATCAGAATGCAATTTTGTCTCATCTTTGAAACAGTTTACAACACAGAGACAGAATTCACTATGTATTGGGCTAGTGGTTGAATAGTTGAGTTCTATTTTCTCTTCCACTCACCTGTGCTGGCTTCTGCTATGGTATTGTCAACTGTACCGTTGAGCCGCACTATGCTAGAAGCGGTTTTGGCATTGCTTGAGTTCTGGTAATTTAGTTTGGGCAGGCAGTCACCACTCCCTTTTGTGCTCTCCACTTCGGACACTGTACATAGAAAAGGACAGACAGTTCTTTAGAAACAAAGCAACTTCATTTAAATCTCAGGTTCCATGACCTATTAGATGTTTTATGAAGGACTGAAAGCAGGCTGTATGCATCCCGTGGTGCATAGGCTGATACCTACTTGGGCAGAGGTTTTAAAGCTGGAATGACCCCAGCATTACTTTTATAACTGGAAGTTCCATATGCTTTTGTACACTGAGCAAAGCATAGGTACAAGACTATTCTGTCCTGCCTTTGCAAGAGCTCAGCGACCAATGAGCCTGTCTTTGTCCAGATATCCTTACCCCCATGGCCATGACTACACAAAAGAAATAAAGCAAATGCTGCAGTATTTATGTTCACCTCTGTTTGATATGAAAGACAAATTCTGTTGCAGGTGGTTACCCAAAACAGAGAACTACTTTTCTAAAGGAATTTGAGCAACTTAATAATCTCAAGTTGCATTCATAAGCACGAAACTTTTTCAGCACATATATTACCAGGGAGAGACACAATCTTGACTAATTACGGCTAAAAATAACATCAGTTTTCAGCAGAATTCACATTTTCTGTGTCCTCACAAGTTTCATTAAACCTAAATGACCTGCTTGTCACCTTATACTATGGGCATGAGAACATACCTGTAACACACAAACATTCAAGCAAACTGCAGAAAAAATACTAATGCTAGAAGGAAGACTATGGTGAAAAGAACACTGAAGTAAGTTTTCAGGTTCCATGTATTCTCATACTTTTACACCACTTCCACTTGACAAGGGAATACGTAACTCAAATAGTAGGAGACAGCGCACTGAAAAATTTAATGATATTATTAGGAGAAAATTTATTATGATGTATATGGGAATCTCCAGTATTTATACATTTTCACTACATAATCTCATCTGCTGTATGCTTGCATAAAGTCTATGCTGCTCAGCTGCAGTTAAGAGAATCATGAGCAGCAGATATAAAACCTGAAGAAAAGGGTCCACAATGAATCCAAAGCCTCTCTCATTTCTGATACAGCTCCTAAATTCTGAGAATTCCCAGGAGCTGAATAATTTATTCCACTCTCACAGACCTGCAGAAATTCAGCTGTTCTCCTCTTAGGGGATTTATAAAGAAAACGGACTGGTAAAAAAAGCTTTCCCTGTAGATTATGCCTGTGAAGCAATTAATTTTTTTTAAAGACAAAACCATGAAGCTGTAATTATCATTAAACCTTTATATTATCACTATCATTTATTTGAAACAGAGGAGGGAAAAAAAACAAGAACTGCAATTTTAAAAGTTAAATCATCATACATCCAGGAAATTACATTTAGGAAAAAAACTAAACTTGAGGCATGGGCATAAACTGCCATTATCACATTACACTCACTACAAAAAACATCAGCTGTCCCACTTAGCTGTTGCTGAAATCCCTATTTATCCACAATGAACTAGATATCTGTATCCACAAGATACATACAAGAACTGGAGTCACTCTCTCTCTTGTCCTCCTTTTGTTCTTGTATATCTTGAAGACAAGTTTTCCCTTGCTTGGCTTCTTCTTTGAATGATGTGTTATTTCCAGAGTCTGAAAGTCCTCCTAGCACAACAGGGCAATGACAGAAGATGATTATGGAATCTAATAGCATGAGGTAATTAAAATAAATTGAATATCCACAGTAATTCAAAGGCCTCTTATCAAGTACATTGTAATTAACAGTGAACATTCTACCACAGAAAAGTGAGAAAAGTGATTGGTTTACTTTTACAGTATAAACATTGATGCTCTACAGGATGAAATTAAAGGGTAATTTGCAACATTTCTTTTTAAATACTGTACTAAAACACTGCTTGTCTTTGATTTGGTTGCCTGGTTTATTTGATCAAAATGTCACATCTTTTCAAGAACTCTAAGAGGCAGCTAAACATGGGTTCATTTCAGTGTGGGGTGTTTCTCAGAGTTACTGCATGTAATTCTCATGGTTTTACTCTAGAAAGTAAAAAAATTGCAACAATGCAGCAGCAGCCATGAGTCTGTTTGCAAAATAAGGTGAAAATAAAAGTAATCAACACCACCCAAAAAATCCTGCAAACATTCAAGCCACTATTTGGACAAAACACCATCTCAGATTTATTAATATAGTCTGACTGATTGATTTCATGAGCAAAATTTATTTGACGCTAGTGTGGTTGTCAAACAGCCCTGGTTGGAAGGGCCCTTAAAAGATAATCCAGTTGATCATCTTACATTTACATTGAAAAGGTCTTCCAAGGTCAGCTACAACTAAACTAACTGTTGGTACTTTATAACGTACTATCGTGCTTTACTAGGAGTAAGTTACACATACTGTGGCAAGCAGTACCTATGAAAAATACGAACTACAGGTAATCAGTGGCATGGTAACATAGCCATTTGAACGTCGCACAAATCTTTACAGGAAACCAACCCAAAATTTACAGCCTTAAATGTTGCACTTATATTCTAGGTAAAAAATAAGTATGATTTCACTTGGTCCACAGAACCTGAAAAACAGAATTACAAACTCAACGACTAATTCTAGTTGCCTCTTAACACCAAAAAATGGGGAAAACAAGAAGAGGCAAGGCTGGAGAGAAGATTGTCAGTTATGAGACTGGCTGTTGTATGAACTAGGATAATTATCACAATTATTTCCAGCTCATAGTTTGTCTCCATGAAGAGCTGCTACAGTAAATAAAGAGCAGACTATTTTGGAGTCGAAGCAGCATACAAAAAAGCTGTTTTTCAAAAACTATGCAAGAACTTTTTCATTTTCCCTCTAAAATGCTTTTATCATGAAATTCACAACAGTGCTTTTAGAAATAATTTTCTTATCAGCATAAAGATAACAAAGAGGAGGATGTTAATACTCTACCAGGAGTGGCTGTATGTGACGTGTTTGCTGGTAGCTTTTTCAATGCTTTTTTAAACTGTGCTATTCCTAAAACAACATTTCGTACTTTCATCCACAGGAAATAGCCACCTCGATTGCTTGAAGGCCAGGTGCTTTCCAGAACAGCCTGTTTTGGAAATATTGAAGTCAAACACAGTCATCCCAAGGAACAGTCAGGTGTGAAATAAATTTCCATTTCAAATTGAGTTACATTGGCAGTTACAAAGTAGACTTCTAAACCTACAAAGACAACACAATATTCTGTCTTGTATTTCTTCCAGTTACTAGAAATGACAACATTACATCTGAACTGCTCCCTCATTTTGTTTGCTTCTATTTGCCTGGATAAAAATGCATCTTTTTGTTTTCCTCCTCTTGCAGAAATTCTTACCTTGTTGTAGTAGCCATAAGTAATGGCATTAGGGTCAACACCAGCTTTCTGCATTTCGAACAGCACCCGCACTGCTAGCACAGGCTGCCCATACTGTCCGCACAGTTGCATGAGTACTCGGTAGCACACCTGAAAATACACGCAAGTTACTGCTGTGTTTCTGCAGTCAAACACAAACCCCATTCCATAAAACCCATGGGCTGTTTCTGGAATTCTGGACTTTTACCTCATCAGGTGGATCTATTTTTTTGGTATGCATTTTTTGCAGCACATCATAAGCAGTTTTCAGAGCCCTGACTTTTGAATGGCACACTTTCACATATGCAGGGAGGCAGATAAACCAAAGACCGTAGCAGTGACGCAGCAAACACCTGGACCACATCTGTGGTATGGATGAGTACTTCTTAGCAATTTTATGTGCTGATTTAATTTCCTGTAAAGAATCATAAAGATTATTTGTGTGTATTTACATACACATTACATAAACCTACATGTTAAAAACTGAACATATATCCTTAAACCTACAGAAACCGCAACATTCCTATGAACAACATACTCAAAGTGGAAGAGAAAATTAAAGCAGAGTGAGCGATACCAAAAACAGTTGCTGTTCAATATTCCACTCTTTAAAACTTGCATTTATTTACATTTCTATTATTTTTGTAAGAAACATCTGAGAGTTAGAGTTCCTGGACAGTGAAAAGCAATCAAAAAGAAGATATGGGAGCCAAATAGCTTATGCTCATTGACAACAGGGTGAAGAACATGGAAGGTAGAGGAACAGCATAGCTTATGACAATCTGTGTACAGGGGCCCTATACAACACGGTGTAGGCAAGAAGCATGGGTGAACATCCAAAGAACAACTAGCATGACCCTATAGTCACCATATCAGTGAAAATCAATTAGGATGCAGCCACTGCCAGTCAGTCTTTATAGCCCAACTCAAGATGAAGGCAGCAAGCTCTCACTTTCCAAAGCACATCACGCTACAAGAATAATTGCAAGTACCTGTTTAGTTCTTCTGAACATTGGTGATGGGCTGTTGGGACTACTGGCTTTTGAGGACAGTTTGTTTTTTGGTGCTTTGAGAAATCCTTCTGGTCGCTCAAACAAATCTAGTTTTAACACTGGAAATCCATTATAGCTGTAAAAGAAATGCATCACTTAACTCCTGTAAGTCAGTTCCAAAATACACATCACATAATATCAAATGAAATAGATTACACAGTTGCACTGGAAGCTACACAGGAAATAGAATGCACAAAAGTAAACCCTAAAAGACACCATTGACAAAGTGGTTTACTGATTCATCTGCATGATATCATGACGCTGCACAAACAGTCTCTTAACCTACTATTTCAGTGTAAACAGCTTCAAGTGATAAAATCATTTGCTTTCATAGCATTTTCTTTAATTAATGTGTCAAAGTATTGATTCTAGATGATAAAAAATAATTGTGTGGCTTTGTCCCTAGTGAGCATCACATGACAGAGGTTTATAAAAATCAGTATGAGCAATATCAAACTATTTAAAAGATTAAATTAGATTAGATTTAAAAATGTTTCCCATTATTAATGAAGAAACCAATAGAGAAACTCACTTGACATAAGAACAGGAAAAACCTGTAATTCATGGCTATAAAAAGAACCTAGAAACTAAACTCTACAAGGATTTTGTAGAGTTCGGATGCTGTTAGGATTTTGGCTGGCATTCTACTGTGTCCTTATATTACCTGTATTGTAGAGGGTGCTCTTCACCATTTGGCAGATGGGGGATCTCAGGTGGTGTTATGAAAACTGTATGCTCACTCTTGTATGACTCATCCAGCTCTATAAGTCGTGTTTCCCCAGTTTTGTCCATATCTACCTGGAGAGTGAGGTTAAATGAAAAAGTAGTCACTTGTTATTGTATTTCCTGCTGTTCTGATATAGTCAAGCAGGATGAAGCCTGTGTCAGCATCAAAGGACTGCATCTTAAAAGTAAGGATGCCTTGCAAAGTTATAATGAGAACAGCAAGTGTTGCACTGATTTTGTGAACTTTACCACAACACAACAATTGATGATTAGTGATGTAGTCAGAATTGACTGTTTTCAGGTAAATATTACAAGTAGTCGTACAAAGAAGTTAGTCTTTCTGAAAACAACCATTTCTGGAACTATGTTTTCAACTGCAGCAGTAACTTGGAATTAATTTTTAAATACGAAATTAAGAGCCATTTCCCCACACCCCCCATTTTTCTCCATTTTAACACTGAAAATAATAACAAATTTTATCCAATTGCCTAATGTATACAGAATCTACAAACAACACTATCTAAGCAATTTGAGTCACTTACATAGTCAGTAAGGTCATGCTAGCTTGCAGAGATTGCAGAAATACACATGCATTCAATATGATAATGGGATAAAAACATGGGACCTTACTAAAATTAAAGTAACTTTGCTTTCCTAAAGAAACAGTAACCTGAAAGGTGAAGAGTAGGTTCATAATTCTTTTTCCCTCTTTCAGGTAACTTAGTTGTACATTGGGAAATATAGGAAAGGCAACTTGTAAATAACACTATTAAGCATAAATTACAGCTGCACTTCTTTTGTTTTGAGCTTTGTAAGTGGCAATTTGACCATTAATCTTTACTTTGCCAGCCTGGCTGTTGCAGAGAGGAAGAGGGATTTGCACTTCCCAAATTACTTCCCCTGCTTTAGGGCAGCAGCAGAGATACTCTAGGGCTCCAGGCAAATTTCAAAGCATCAAACTGTGGATCAAGTGGGAGAAAACTGTAAACCAATTTTACTGAAAGAATTTCATTCCATTGGCTTGAGACCGTAAGAACCAATAAAGAACCAAAGCAAAACTTGGTGACCCCAAACAAGATATTGGGTATCTATGAACTGTTTCCCTTTGAGCAAAAGGACAGACAAGGCTATAACTTACAAGCTTCCTACTGCTACTGACGGCACCACAGAAACCACATGGAACAGAGCAAATGTAACACGTACTATATTCCACCTAAGAGCCTTTACTTGATATTTGTACTGATATTCATATTGCTTTATCTGATCTTCTGTCACCAGCTGTGTCTCCTTGAATACCTCAATAAGCACTGCTTCTGCTTGTGGCAGGAGACACGTCTCCATCTCAAAAAGTTGGCATTATCAAAAACTACTTCCTTCCTAGTGCACAGAATGTGCTTCTTATTCACATATTGATAGTGTTCAGTTCAAGCACTGTCACAGTTTACATTTATAACCATTATTTAAATGGTTTAAGTGGCAATGAAATTACAGCTAAATGGTACATTATTTCCAAGAAAGGAATAAGCAACCTGTGGAACCCAAGGATGCATATTCTTCATGCATTAAGAGTTTAGTAACATGTACAAAAAGAAGTATATTCTACAGTTCTTTCCCTCCAGTGAGGTGGAAATATATCAAGCAGTTTCAGTGGAATTCCTGAATATTTAAGATTTGATAAACATACAAAGAGGTGTTCTCAATGACACGTTTTACTGCACGAGACAGATGGAAAGTATTAGCAAATTGAACCAGCCAAGTAGCAAGAACATATGGCTCCTGGAAAGCAGAAATAAACGAAACCTTACTTGGCAATTTAAATACTTCTAAGAATGTAGAAACCCCACAGTTACGAGTTCTACCAGTGAAATACAATGAAGCCAGTAGCTTAAATGTGTATTGAAGTGAGATAATTTTTGAATTCCTGGAAAAATGAAAACTTCTGAGGCAATTACACCATATCCTTCCACAGACAAAATAGGAAAATCAATTACAATCTCTGCTGCTGCTGTCTAGGATAAAGGAACACGCAGAAGAGATTACTCTTCAACTTAAACTATTCCTATAAATTATTTGAGGCAGAGCTTAGATTGTATTTTATAGATAACTAATTTCACAGTACATAAAATTTGCCTCAACCCAGTGGCCTATAGCTACTCGTAAGAAAGTGTTGTATCGTCTTTCAAGCCATGACATCACTCTTTCACGCATACCATTTCAGATACTGGTTCACCCAGTGAAAGACATGAATATATAAGTAATATATAAATAAATATTCACTTTGGAATATTTGGAATCACTGAAATTTGATGGTCAAAGAGCATCTTGGCTAAAGCTCTAACTCAAATAGCAGTGCTTGGTATATTTCAATATTTTGACTTTTTATGTTACTATTATGCATAGTAGCAGAAATAAGAGAAATCAAGAAAGAATAGTAGTGAAGAGAATAGGAAGCAAATATATCGTTGTTCAAAGGAATCCTACATAGATACCCACTTCATGTCAATGAAAACCTACTTTCACAAGCAATTCTAAAGCCATGGCAAATCCTAAACACATAGTAATTCCAGTGCTTCAGTTCCCCAGAATTACCACTGGCATAGAACTAATTGTCCCATTAATAAAACCAATTGAAATCATCACTGACAGAAATAGGAGTTGGAGAAGTACAAGTGTTTTTTGCAAAACTTATTCTCATGGCATTATCATGAGCATTTTTTATACCAGAAAGAAGCCGCCCACAGCATCAACTAGTAAACTAGCTGGTATTAGAATAAGTATGTCCTTGCTTCAGCTGCACGAGTGGCTACTTCACCTTTTAGAAGCAGAAATGAAACAAAGCCCAACAAAAAAGGAAAATGGAAGGCTACAGTGACTAAAAAAAGGAAGAAGAAATAGAAATTAACTTGCACTTCAAATGCATTTTACTTGCACAATATCAAGACGTTGTAAGCAACAACAGAAGTTAAAAAACCTCCATGTGTATGAAGACTTGCTTACTTTATCTACGCAGTCATCGAAAAAAGCAAGGCTTGCATCCTTATCACTGACAAAAGAACACTCTTCAATGAAGCGAATAAACATCTGAGTTTTGGTCATCAACGTGTAGAACTTCTGATGCGAACGATCTCGACTTTTGAGAAAACCTATAAAGTAAAATCAGAAACAGGTAAGAATGCCTAAAACAAAAAAAAACCCCTCAGCAAAAGTCAGCATACATTCTACTAATAAGCAGTCATAGAATCAGAATGGTTTGGGTTGGAAGGGTCCTTAGAGATCATCTAGTTCCTACCCCCTCTGCCACGGGCAGGGACACCTTCCACTAGAGCAGGTTGCTCCAGGCCCCTGTGTCCAACCCGGCCTTGAACACTGCCAGGGATGGGGCAGCCACAGCTCCTCTGGGCACCCTGTGCCAGCGCCTCTCCGCCCTCACAGAGAATAATTTTTTCCTAATACTTAATCTAAATCTACCCTCAATAACCTTTCTGCAGTGCTTGCCACTACTATGCAATTTTTCTTGCACTTGTACTTCCACCGTCATTTACAACATTAACACTGCAAATGTTTTTTATTCTTTAAATAAGAAAATCAAAAATAATAAATCAACATATATAAAACAAGCTTATGAGTCTTCACCTTGTAGTTCAAAGAGAGAACTTGCATCTGTGGCTGTTTCAGAGGGTGCCTCTGTTATTGGCCTGAGATAAGACCTGTAACCTTTTAGTATTGAGGCCATGAAACACAGAAATGCTTCCTGGATCTCCAAATCTAACAGATGCAATTTCTTCCCGGAATTAAAATCGTAATCATTCATTGCTAATTCCATTAATGCATCTTCTCTTGGTCGCTGTTGCACTGTGAACAAAAAAAACATTATATTGTTTTGCTTTCTTCTCCCCCCCAGTATTCATTAAATAATGGTATCCTACTAGAATCACCAATTACTGAGCTCCATTAAGTTTGGAACAGCTTAAAATACATGCTATTAAATTCAATCATGATGTGCAAGAATGGATTCAGCTTGACCTTATACAACTCCTGTATCTCTGGATAACACCAAAAGCCTTTATTTATTTACATTTACCTTTCCAGCACATTAGTTACTACAGCAACAGAGAGAATCAGTATGCACAGAGCTGTAAAAAACCCTCAAAGAATGTTGTTTGTAAAAATATGTGAAAATTTATACAAGAGCTTCTTAAAGCAGCATATTTTAGGGACAAATGCATAAATGGGATCTGTGTTACGGTGTTTTCTTTTTTACAGTGTCTTTCATTGCAAAGTGTCTCCAGAAAACATGCAATACATATTAAGTACCTATATACATGGAAAAGCACCGCTCAGATGCGAAGTGGAGCCACCAAAATACAACGCAATGCAAAATGCCAATATAGATAGAAAGCAGGCTTTTTATTTCAAGCTCTCGCAAATTCTTAAAGTAGGGACTTGTATCAACATTTTAAAGCCATCAGGACTCTAGCTAAGACTTCACTGCTATAATAACCTTCTGTTTCTGTACATTCTAATCAGGACACAGTTAAATTCTAGTGACCTCAATAGCCAAGAAGGTATAAATAGCCTTTAAAAGTGCCCTAAATCCAAGTTAAATTACAAAGATCCCATGCAATATGCTTTCCAGGTACGTATTCCTCAAAGACGTAGTGTTGGTCAACCCCATCCTTTTCACATTCTGATTTAAGTCTTAACCACTTGCTGTCTCTGCCATAGAAACTTGATTTTACAGTTGCATTATTGCTGCTAGGCTCCCTCCATTGCCTATGAAAATCATTTGCTAAGCAGACAGGTAATGCCAGAGTGCTGACAGGCTTCCTTCCCACTTCACAAAGCCTATTAGCTCTGACGCCGAAGCTCATCAGCTGACCTTGACTACATTCCTATTTCCAAATGCTTTGTTTTAAAGAAGTCACTAACATCACTCTTACCAATTTTCCTTCTTTCTCACATTAAAATTCAATATACTTTGCCTGTATCAACAACCAATTTTTGTTTTTACAAATATCCAGTAATTGTGCTACACACTGAACCTCCCCCCCCCCAAGTTTATAAAACATTCATTATTTCCATCTTCAATTTTTAGATAAAGTACTATCAGCTTGATTGTCAAAGTTATCTCAATTGTCAAGATATCGACAGACTTGAGCAGGCTTTGAGGACAAAAAAGGTCTTTTTTTGGTCCTGACCTACACTTCGCTTTACTATTCCCCTCTCATAAAAACTCTGCTTTTTTTCCAGTGGGAGGATAACATCAATAAAAAGGGATATCTATTGAACATCACTTCCACCCCAAAAGCCCCTATGTGGGTTCTAAGCTCTGGACTTAAAGCACAGATTTTCCTATTCTGTACAAAAACATTATGTTTTTTTAAGATGACATTTTACATATTTAAACATATTTAATTAGCTATATTTATCTGTTAATGTGGCACACTATATTCAACGTAAGTCTTCCATGTACTTTCCCACTCACATTCTGCCAGTTGCTGATATAAATTACTTAAAGTGTTCATCAGATTTTTACAAGGTTTCTTTGGTAAGATCTTCCATGCAATAGTTTTCTTATCTCCAGTTCTGGAAGAAAAGAAGCAAAAAAGTATGAGTATACACATGAATAAGTGTGTATATAGGACTGTTCAGAGGGTTTTTCTAACTCACCAGAGAAATGAGAGAACACAAACAATTTGCTGCATTAAAACATAACTGAGAAGGATTGAAAACCAACCAATGAAGTGAAACTTGATTTACTATATGGATACTTGATCGCAGCCATCCAACCAATGCCCCATATTTCAGGATGACAATTATGCTGGCACACTCTTTAGCACTGCAATCAATCCACTTAAAACTTGTGAAAGATGGATTAACAGTATTAAGCACCAGCCATTGCATGAACCACCACCACACATGCTATGATCTGAGCTGTCCTTACTTAAACTAGGATGGAGATAATGACTAGAATGCCCGTAGTAACCTGAATTCAATTTGATATATCAACTGCTTTGTGTTTAGCACATACAGATTTGGACTTGAGTACATCATGATGAGGATGAAAAAAAATGACAATGTTCTTTGTCAACAGAGGGCACCAGCAAGCCTCAAGACCCTTTTGGTCACAGAGTTGCCAAAACCGTAAGCATTTGTTTGACACTTTTTTCCATATGATGAAATAGAATTAATCTGTTCTAAGAACATGTACAGAAAGTCAGCTAAAAGTAGAGTAAAACCAGAAACAACTGGAAGGATTTTCAATTAATGAATTAGACAAATACCAGAAGAAATGCACAAACATGTTCTTCTCAACCAAAAAGTAACAAAACCAAGACTGAAATTATCACAGCCTAGCTTGAACTAGTTCCTGAACATTTCAGAGCAGAACTGCTATACCAAATTGGTATCAGCATAAAATCCTGAACAAAAATTTCTATTCATAAATACTTAATATATGCAGCATTCTCTAAATCCAAACACAGCTACTGAAGAAAAAATAACCCCACAAATCAGAAAACTTCAGAAAAAAAGGTTTTAGTTAGGCATAGTAATGCTGAAAGACTACCAACAGGAGGATGATATAAAAGAACACTAACCAGAGCCTAAGTACACACTGAGAATATTAAACATTATACTGAAATAAAAGTTTAATTCTGAAATACAATTTGAATCACTTTCAAGTGTCTTACAATCTTGAATTAGAAGCCTTACCCTCTTCCATCTATTTGTATATCACATCATTGCAAAGAAATGAGTAATTCTGTTTTGAATGTTGTAACAATATGGACTGTTTCCCCATATTTTGAGTGCACTACTGTCCCATACTAGTATTTTAGATGCTAAATAATTAGTATAACAGAAAAATGCAGTACTCTACACAGTTCTGAAGGAGAAATATTATAATACTGTTAATTCAGTTGTTAATGATGCCATGATTTTAAGTTTTAATTAAGATTCTCACCCATGAAAGTTCACATCTCTAATTCTCAACCTGAAGTTCCTATACTTCATATTGATCTGAAGTGTGATGTAATTGTTATTATTGTCAAGCAGATGCTCACCTGAAGATAACAGAATTTCTTGAAGACTAAGAAAGCTGATCATGAGAAATAAAAATTACTATTCTCCTCCAGACACAATGAAGTGAGACACAGTATGGTTAATCCAGGAAACATGCCAACATGTGCAATAAGATTTTAATGTAAGACTAAAACGCAATAATGTCCCATGAGGGTTGTACCTCTACTCTGCTGTGTTGAACAGGAGATGCTCACCTCAAGAAGAAAGTTCAGAGGTTTAAAATACCTCTCCCCTCCAAGTTTTGCCAAAAAAAGCTAGTTCTTTGAAAACAGGAAGCAAAAGAAATTAACACAGAAGAAATATTGTTAATAAATACTTACTGAGAAATTGTGTTGGTATCGAGGTCAACACAGCTAACGTCTGGTGGAGGGTCATAGAGATCAAAGTATCTTGAATCAATTCCCACTATGAAAGGGCATGGTGCACTTAACACATCTGCCAGTGCCAAGGGACAGAGAGGAATATACGGGCAAGGCCAGTGGAAGGGAAATATCATCTTTGAAAATATACAGAGACAAAACCATAGGTTAAGCATGTATAATAATATGGTCTATACAAGTATAAACCACACTTCACTAACTTCCACTTCAAAATTATTTCATATGGCAGACAATTATTACTGAAAATCTAGATGCAGATTATTGAACAAAAAATGCACTCATTTCTCTGAAATTCAATTTGTAGGATAAAGCTCTTCAGTACAACAGACAATGCTCAGTGAAGACAGGCAGGAAAGTAGCATGCATTTCAAATTCTGCAAGAAAGAATATAGTGCTCTTTGGGAACACCAGGAACTCAGTTGTGATGACCAAGCAACATCCTTATTTACAATATTTACACACAGAAAAACAACAACAGTTAGTCTCTCTCCTCTATCTTTGTGAGATATCACTGGTAATGTGAATTTTTCTCTCTAGTGATCTTTATTTTTATTCTTATTTACAAGTAACCTTAAAGCCTAATGGCAGTACTACTAATTTTAAATTTTATCTAAAAAACTTTCTTTTTTCCACTTGCAGGTATATGATTAAAATAAACGTTACTTACAGAGACTAATGCCTCTGTCACACTAGTAAGGACAGAAGGTCGTAATGAATGGATGAGAATTTTATGTTCCGTCACAGCGAACACAAGTAGAGTTACTGCATTTTCAGGTCCTAAATTCTGAAGTAGTGTAGAAAACTTGCCCCCACTGTAACAGAATATAAACACACTGGTGAGATACGATGGACCATAGAGAAAAAAAGAGAAATGCTCAGTAGCAAAAGAGAAAACCAGGCATTAGAGTGGGATTTTATGAACATGCATCTGCAAATCTTACTTTTAAAGACGATTGCGAGGCAGACTACTTGGAACACTTCACTGTTCAGTGAAGATTGGTTACTTCTCAGTAGTAACCATTGTCTTTAACCATAGTCTTCAATCAGTCTAGACTATTTTCAGGGTATACACATGATGATTTTCTTTGAGGAGCAACTTAGAGGGAGACAACATGCATGTCTTTAATCATTCTCCTGCACTGAGGCATGAAAGTTAAAACAGACACAGAACTTCAATTCCCTTGCAATACAAAAGCTGTGCTATCTTGGGAACTCAGGTACCGACTCCTAGAAGGGGGATCTAACAATCTATATTCTGCCACAAGAACCATTACTTGAAACACATAGATATTGTTTTGTAAGTATGTATCCTTCACAGGACACAAGTCTAGTCACATAAATAAGCTTTAGACATACTTGCTACAAAAGGCACTGGAGAAGGTAAGTTAATTTGCACAGTTACAACTCAAAGCACCAAATCTTTTCTGCAGTGTAGATCAGAATACATTTCACAATGAAACAGAAGATACTGCCACTTGCCTCAGTGGAAGGGGCGATGACACAGGCTGGCTAAGAATCAGGTTATCATGTGGAGATAGCTGGAAAAAGATTTTAAAATACATTCTTTTTATTCCAAAGTTTTAAAATATTTATTAGAAATTATACAGCTATAACAAAGAACACCTAAAAATCAAATTTAAACTATGCTGAACCTTATATATCCCAGTTGTATAGCACCGTAAGAAATAGTGTGCAAAGCTACACATCAGTATCTTCTAGTAAAAACCAGGCAAAGCACGATCTTTCTTGGTCAGAATTGAACACGTTGCATATTCATAAAGAGGAATTTAAAATAGCTAATGCTGCAAAAAACTGAATATATTAACTGCTGAAAAATAAAGCCTTCTGTATTTTAAGGGAAGTGAGGACCCATACTTCATACATAGCTTTCAGGGGCCAGGGTGGGGATTCTTTTTGGATTTAAGGGGAAAGAGATGGATAAAATGCATAAAGGAGAGAGATGTCAGGTCATAATATAAGGTAATATTTTCTTCAGAGACCTGAGAATTAGGCTTTTAGCTGGTAGAAACAGCTCAGCTTTGATAGAATCTTCAAAATTTGCATTAGTTGAAGATCCAAGACAAAGATCTTATTAATTTGCACTTTTCTTACAGTGATATGACATCAAGAGAAATCATTCATATATTCAGCATGAATAGGAGGATTCAAATGAGTACAAGAGTACAGACACACAATCGACTTACAAAGCTCAGGCTGACATTTTCAGCCATAGTAAATCCAAGGTAAAGAGATACCAGTTACCTTCATCCTCTCTGCTCAGTGGTCATGCATTTTCTATCTATTGTATAGAAGCACACACAGGAGCAGCAGTAGTAAATCAGTAACTTTTAGTAACACTTTATTTTTGAGTATGTTTCACTTAGACCCCATTGCAGATAACCAGGCAACAGAGGAATAGATACACATTGGTAACACAAATGCCAAAGCACTAAGTCACCTCACACCGTGCCTGGACAGACACACAGACCACAAAGCACTAGCAAGAGTCTCTACAAAACTGCTTCCTTGCATATTTCATGTAACTGAGCTTTTGAAGGCTGATGCTACATTTAGCTTCAGTGACAAATGAGGATGGCCACACCACTCTACATGCTAGATTTATCTTCAAATAAGTCACCTTGTGACAACCACCACCATTAGCTTGTTCAGGGAAAGAATTCGGACAACTCATTTTTTCAGACTGAGGTAACCTTCATAAACTACCCTCAGAAAGGCAGCCTTAGCCTAATGTCCTATATCTTTTGTGTTTTACAAAAGCAGGTCAACACAATCAAGCATCTATTCAAGGAGCGTCTCCCCCTTAGGCAGAAGGGGCACTTAGTGCTCTCATTCTTCAGGGGGACAAACACATTAATCAATGTGCTCTTGAAGTTTTCAGGTTGTGAAATACATCATTAGAAGAGGAATATCTGTGTAATAAGGGGATATAGGACATGCAGAAGGGAGTCTAGCAGATCTTAGATCAGAAACAACGTATCAACAATGGCAGCTGGAAACTTGGAATCAGGAACACCCCTGAATGTTTTACTAAGGGCTATAATCTCTTGGAAACTTAAAAGTCAGGCACATGCCATGCTCTCTCTCACTCGTAACAGATACTAAGAGGGATCTAAGAATGGGTTGGACATCCACACTGGCATACATGTAGTTACTATAAATATATAGCAGGTTTCATTTTCAGAAAGCATATACGCACTTGCAAGAGATTCTACAGCAACACATTCAGAGGAATTGCGATACTAGTCATTTAGCAAAAGATTACCATGTTTCAAAATAACAAGCTCCAGAGCGAAATTACTACAAGAAATTACTGAAGAACAGTGAAATGAAATCCTAAAAGCTTGTCATTTTCAAGAATACAGGCATTTCCCCCACTATTTTTAGGAAAACATCTTCAATACAATCACCTGTGGTTTTATTCGGTGCAGTATCAAACACAACTCAAAAGCCTCTGAAAGCAGCTGAAAGGAAGTACTTCTTCATAGACCTCAACCACCACTGCCTACTTTAAAAGCAGTTTGTCCTCCATCTGTACTATGAGCTACTAAAGTTGTACTTGATGCATACAACATTTTGAAAATGTTGTGTATGTATATACAGATAAGTAACAAATATATATGTAAGATATATGAGGTATAACAGACATAATTTCACACCACTTACATCTAGGTTCTCACTTTGTTTCAGGATATATACCCATGTATACTTTGACAGAGTTACCCAAAAATTCAGACTAAAAAAATTAAATATTTTTCTCTAAACTGACTTACAGTTCTCTATAAGTATGTTTAATGTTCTCAAGCACAAATATTTTACTGAATGTGAATTAAAAAAACCCCAAACCAATAACTGGGTTTTAAAATCATAATAAAAGCAACAGAAGCATCAGATACAGTTTCAGTATAACTGTTCTCCAACCCCTTTAGTAATTAGTTAGTATTAGTAATTAATGTCACTTGTTTAGAATATCCAAGTATGCCAACCAGGATCTTTAATAAGCAATACATTCTATAAAGACATACCCCAAGATCGCATTTACTCTGAAAGACTTCACTAGCTTATGGGCTCCTACATTAAGACTGAAAACTGCACAGGGCTCTCAGTATTTTCTTTCATACAAGTAGTAACAGGGAGTAACACCGGTTTGAACAATTTGTTCAAAACCACATGATTGGTAGAATAACTACAAGCAGAATAGAGCTGTCTTCCCTTCGCAATAAAATTTTAACATGTCTATAACCTTCAGCCTCTTAGGAGGAAAAAAAGTATAAAGACTTAATACCACTTCACTTAAGAAGTCTTTGAGAGAGGGATTTCCTCTCTTCTACCAACAGTGACATGGGTGCAATTTCAAATAACTGGTAACCTAATTCTGGCTATTATATCCTTTCACTCACACCCAGTAAAATATGCTGGATCTTGCAGGTAGGCCAGAATCAGAGTCATATTTGATAAAGTGCCTCTGTTGAATGTGTGCAGCTCTTGCAGTTTTCAGTAAGAGCTATCCATTATGTAGAGGACAGCAGGAAGCCCTTGGGGAAAAGAGGTAATCAGGAATATACACCTCACATCTGGTTTTAATTTTATTTATTTATTTTACACTTAGCCTTCATACAGTAGCAAGAAGAAAACAGTTCAAAAGCTACTGCAAAAGTCAAACCAGATGCGGATTTGGAGTAGTTTTTCATTAATTTCCATATACTCTGAAAGAAGGAAAATTAGGTTCTAAGCTCACTAAACAGTTTCTTGAAAGATCTCATTAAAGTCCTTAACTGAAAGGAAACAGAACACTGAGAAATCTGTAAAAATTAAGTGTATGAACTTAGGAAAACAATCCTGAGCAAAGAAAACAATTAGAACATAAAAATTTCATTTTCCATTTACCGACCTGCTCAACAGTTGTTTTGTCTTCACTGAAGACACAGCTATTAAGAAATAATTTACACATACCTGAACTAGAATTCTTGGCCTCTGAGGGGATGGAAAAGGAACTTTATGCATGAAATGGGAAATGTGTCTAGAGGAAAAGAAAAATACCAACTTAGTGGAAATTACAAGCTTCAACTGCTTTACCTCAAGACAAAAATATTGTCAGTAACAGAAATTATTATATAAAAGTGGCACATCATTATTCAGAAGACAGAGAGCAAGAAAACCCAGCACCCAAACCCTACAGGGATATTCTGACCTTCAAAACCTATTTTTCTACCAGTGACATCCCAAATGGCAGGCGAAATTATCTATCAGACTATGAGGTTGGTTTGTGAGACTGAAAAATTACAAGGAGCTTTTTAACAAATAGAAATAAAAGTAAAGTAGAAATATTGATGTTTGAGTATTGTAACACCGTCTTAGAATCATACTTCTGAGAGTGGCTTGAAATAGCATGATTCCTCAGAGACAATAACTGGTTACTTGCCAAAAAATATTCACAGCTGTATATCAAACAGTCATTAAGTTCATCCATTTTCTTCACTTTCAAATTCAAAATGTTACTTAAGATTTCTGATGAAAAAGTGTTAAAAGTTCTTCCATATACTACAAATGCAGATTTATTTTCTTAATCTCCCAGTTTTATGAAGTGATTGAATTTACAGAAGTTCTAAACATGTATGAGTTCTACATGATACACATTCACGTTTAAAGAAACTACTTGCAATCAGTAGAAACTTGGGTAATCCATCATAAACCACATGCTACAGCACACACTTTACTGTGATTTCTGCAACTTTTACCATTATTATGACACAGACAACCAACCAAAGCTGGAAGAAATTCAGACAAACCCACAGATAAGCATTGATTTATATAAAAGACTTGTCCTACATATTTCTCAAAGTTATATATTTCATATGTTAATGTATCTACATATCACATCATTAGATGTATGCAAAACCCCCCATTTCTACTGCTTTTAATTTTGTGTACTTTTGTTAGGTTTAACTTTTTGTGGCAGTTCTATAATCACATAACTGGTGTTAACCAGCAGCAGAATTATGCCTCCTCTTTGCCACTCCTCAGCTGACCTCCCTTGTTTCAGCCTCAGTGCCTGTGCAGCCACATGGCAAATGAGAACAGGAAAGTAATCAGGCTGACAATGGATTTGGGGTCTTGTCTTTATTACCAGCGTATGAAGATGGTCACAGACCATATAGCAAACATCAAGGGAAAGGCCTGCTGCTTGCAGTAGCAGGGTTGACTGAAAATGTTCAAATACATACGTATGGCAGACAACCTTCATCATCTTTAAAATAGTCAAAGAAACTAGGCTAGGTATGATATTAACTTCATGCAAGACGGTGTAGGTGTATTTAAAATATCCACAGTAAATAGATCAGTTTACAAATCAGAATAAGCAAATCTGTAAAATCAATATTAATAAAACATACCTTATATTTACACCTTATTTTATTCATTCACGAAACTCAAAACCCAAAAATAGTTCTAAGCTTAAAAGAATAAAATCTTTTCATTATTGGAAGCTAACACTATCAGAATTTTAAAACAAGTACAGTAGTTACGAAGTGGAGTAATGAAGTGGATAATAGCAAAAAATGCACAGTGTACAAAGTCAAAGTCTCATAGAAGTTAATATTGAAGTTTAATCAGAAAAAAAAGACTGATGTGTAATAAAATATAAAAGCAAATAGTGGATTTGAAATCTGATGCATTGAAAAGTTGTGTTAGCCCAGATATGTTAAATGATACTACATATCAATTACAGGTATCATAGATCATAGAATAGTTTGGGTGGGAGAGGACCTTCAAAGGTCATCTAGTTCCAAAGCCCCTGCAATGAGCAGGGACGTCTTCAAATATATCAGGTTGCTCAAACACTTCTTGGATGTAAAGACATGCTCTGCATTTTAAAAAGTGAAATCCTTTATGTAAGAAGGAAATTAGGTTTATTTATCACAAATAGAGGAAGATTACTAGTACAAAAAATTCAATCTACTTAATTATCTCTTTACAAATAGGCATGTGAAAAACCTCGCAAACCCATTGTATTTCATCCTCCTACCTTAATATATGCAACATTAAGAAAGGATTTATAATCTGGGTCCTCCTAATCACGATGCTAAAGGGTGCAGAGCTAATTAAGAAAGGTTGTCTGATACACCATTGCGGGCACTTAAATTACAAATAAAAACCTGGGTTTATTTGAGAAAGTAGGTAGAGATACATTTAATCAGCAAAGCGTTTAAATCTTGTGTAGCCATATTTAATGTCTGATGACTAAAGTCAAATGGACATTACAGCAAACTTAGAAGTAAAAGAAAAACAACAAAACAAGAGCTCTCATCAATTGAAACTACTGTTACAAATCTCTGAAAATACTTACTTCTCGATGGGCAGGACATGTGGACCAGAGATGGAGTAGCGATACAGAAAGGTAAGAAACTTCTTGAAAGCATCAAAGAAAGGCCAGTGAGAGAGCAGACAGATGCATTTATTAGTTTGAACTGTTCTACATGTGTCTGACTTTCCCTCAGCAGCAGCTGCTAATCCCAGTTGAGATTTTTGTTTCTCTGAGAGATTCTCTTCAGGATACAGTTCATAAAACTGAATAGCAGCACCATATACCTGCAAACAACAGTTGATTTGAAGTCAATAAATCTGCCTCAAGCTTCAAAGCAATCTAACAAACCCCAAACATGCAAGGGAAATCATGTCTATGTTACTGCTTGAAAAGTTACATTAATGCATCATCTTTTGAAGCAATATATTCTGGAATATTCTTATGGCTGTGAAAATCCAGACTGTCTGTTATTTATTTAAAACACTTAATGTCATATGAGAACGAGTAATTTGCAAAACAATTTAAGTGAGAGAAAAATAATGATTATATAGAGCACAACTACAGTCAACTGCTCCTACAATTGCCTTTAAAGCTATTTTAGGACTCCTTTATACACAACTCAAAGCAGTATTCCTCTGACATCCAATTTGCTTTTTAGAACAAGTAAATACATGCAAGGTTGTTTCCATGCTCGCAATAAAAATAGTATACTTGCATGTAGACGCAGTCAGAATTTTTATAGCTCTCTAGTTTCAAAGGCCAACATGATTGGAAAGCAAAGGAGTATGGGTTTATATGACCAACAGTCCAGCAGTGAAATAAATACAAGTCACTCTTTAAGGTAGTCACTGAGAATTAAGCCTAAACTCAAGTTTGTCTATTAAAATAAGCATTATTATCATCCTGAACAGATAAACCACCAAATTTTCAAGTTAAATTATTAACAATCATTATTTTCTAAACTTTCAAAATACCTTTTCTGCAGAAGCTCCAGTTAGTACAAATGTAGAAAAAACTGGGAGAGGGTATTTACTGTTAGATGGCCAACATTCAATTGTTGCACCCATAGGTAGACAAAAAAGAGGCACAGATTCTGGTAACGGGAATGATTCATAATCTTCTTCGGGATATCTACATATTAATCCTATAAAGGCAATTTGTAAAGAGGCAGTTATGTAAGGAATAGCAGAAACATATTACATATAGCTCTTACAATAGCTCACTCCATAAAAAAATGCCCAGAAATATTGTATATGAACATACACTAACTTCAGAAGATCAGTCAAGTAGTAAATAACCAGGCAGAGCAAATAGCTGGAAAGGACATGCTTCCAAGGCCTAAGGAGAAAGCACCTGACTAAAACATTGGACAGAAGTCCCACTTTCTATTCTAGGAACTCTTCATAACTAATTTATCTTTATGTTTGCAGGTTGTGTGCACCTCAGCTCTTATCACAATTCACATTCATCACTGGTATGAGTAAGGATTTAGAATTTAGTTTAAAAACTGGTAACCTGAATAATTGAGAAATAAAACTGATGTTTCAATTATGAAAGCAATTAATTCCTGCCTACAAAAGTTTCCTGAAAAATCTGGTATGTTAGAGATCAGACAGATTATTTTTAATATCAATAGAATCAAACCAATTAATTATGCTGATCTACCTCAGCTGAGGATTCAGCTAATATGCTACCAGACTAATGTATTTAGACTTCATTTTAAACATAGCTGTAGAACACAAAGTTCTGAAGAGGCTCTTAGCATACAGGTCTTCAATTACATCATGGGACTGCAGCAATCTAGCCTTTCTTATTGCCAACCCAAGGGACTCCAAACTGAGAGTGAATATTGTGGGAAAGGATTTAGGATTTCTCTGCATTACAGCACACAATCACTACACATTCTTTTCTAATATACAGTGAAATATTAATGAGCAATAAAAAATGGTGGCCAAGAAGGGCAGTGGATTTTTCCCCACTCTCAAGAAGCAAACTTTTGTGAAGCTGCTACCAGGTGTGGGGCCTTTTCAAATTCCTATTTATTTACAGATTTGTTTTCTACCTTTTAGTTAGTCCTAAACTACTGTTGTTTACAGAGAGCAGCATCTCAAAGGGATATAAGTAAATTAACGCTTAAGTCTGAATCATGCTAATGACTTGCACTCAAACAAATCGGGGCCCAACACATTTCACCACAGCCATAGCAAATCTAATTCTGTCTTACAAATAAAGCAAGAAAATAAAGATGAAACACAATCCAAAAATACTTAAAGAGCTCAATGCCACTGATGTGCAGGGCAGTGTGGAAGTCTGCAGTATCCTTTAAGAAACATTTTGATCAGGAAAATGCATCAAATAATTTTGCAGCATTTTCTTCTGCACATATAAATATATATATACACACACACATCCTTAAGACAGTTATCAGCAACAAAAAAAAAGGTAGGACACAAACAAGTTTGTAGAAACCTACCAAAACACAACTGAGCTTCCAACTATAAGCAAATTTTAAACCAAACTGGTCACAATACGTAATCTTAAGGTTCATTTTAGTACACTGTTTTAAAAGAATTTTTCAGGGAAACAGCCTTTTTTTGCATAATGCCAAGACAGTGTCTTTGTCAAATAATTCTTCAATAAAAATACCTATTGTGCTACAAACCAACCTGTACATCCTGACTTGAAGATTAAAAAAGCTACATAGTAGTTACATACCAGCTTTATATGATATGGTGTTGGTTTTTGCCACAGACTTTTTATAACATAAATACACTGCTGAGCCCCACTGTAAAACAGAAGAAATTATTGGATTACATGATGAAGTATAACAAAAGGATGCAACAGAAGAGAGTGGAGGAAACCTCCTTTTCCTTGTTTACAAAGAACCATAATTTACACACAAAACCATAGAGCATTAAGATATAGGAATTTCGGGCTGGCTACACTATCCTTTCTGACAACACCACAATCATGTAACTGAAAGGAAAGCACTGTGCTAGCTCTGAGCTAACCAACCTATGGCATAGCTCTAGAAACCACAACTGGTTTGTAGACTGAAGCGTGACATCCATAAATTCCTCTTGAAAACATTTGTTAATACAAATACAGAATTTTAAGTACAACTGATGGCCATATAAATATTTAAACCTTTCTCCATTTTGTTAAACATCTGGATTAAATGTGTATATAGACAGCTATACATACATCCATGTACACATTTATGTATATATACACACATAAGGTGCAATGTTTCTGTTTTTAACTCCATCTGTGTATTACTTTAATATTTAACAATTCTTTTGTGTCTACATTTTCATTTTAACCATGCTAATCTTTAAACCCAATTCCTTTTACCATGTGTGACTTCACAGTCTGTGAAACGCTGCAGCACAACATCAGAGTTCTTGCAGCTTCTAAACAATTCCCTTTTTGGCATGGTTAGTATTTTAACATTTTTTTGAAGTTCTCAATTTATGGACATGAATAAAGACCATGGAAAGCCACAGAGAAGACCAGCATCCTTTAAGGACACACAAAGCTTTTATAGTTGGAAGAAAGAACAATTTCCATTAGACAGCACTCCCATAACCCAGTCAATATAGGGACTGGTAGAACTGAAAATCCATTTGTTAATGTCTACAGGCATTTATTTAAAACCAAGTACAAATCAATTTCCATGATCTTTTTTGCATGATACTACTTGCATATGTGGTCAGTATCCTCATCAGCATGCTGACTTTTAAGGACCCTACAAGAGCCAGCATACAGGGCTGCAGATTTGACCAGGAGACACCAAAACATTACGTTCTGCAAAACAAAGTGCTGTGACACCTGTGTATTATAGCAGGTACAGCTTTGGAACCATATTAAGCATTTAAACAGGCTTAGAGTCAACAGCATCCAACACTGCTCACATGCAACTTTCTTCAGAAAAAAAGACTGTGAAACTACTGAGGAGATTGAGATTTATAAAATAGCACTGGAGGTAATGAGAGAGTTTAAAAACAAACCAGAAGCTGTTTGTTAGATACAGAATTCCCATCACAACAGTAAAATCAGTGTCAGAAATAGCCATGTCTGTAAAACCTCCAGTTATACACATGATGACACAAGAGGTTCTTAAGGACTAATCCAAAAGTACTGAAGTCAGCATTACCAAGTCAGCACTAAAAAGATTATTTGCTCCAAGACTTCCAAAGAGACTTTGTTCCAAGCAGGAACAAAGAAATGTAATCCCCCAACTCTGCCAAGATATGACTCCTCTTTGGAGAGTGCCTATCAACATTCGTCACTCTGAGAACTGTCACAAATACTCCACAAGCACTACATCAAGTATCAAGCGTTCAAAAACCCAGATTTTGAATCTTACCATGCTATTATTAAGATTCTTGTCAACCTTGCAGAATGTGTGTGGAGGGGTTTCTCCTTTACTTGGTATGATTATACATATATCTGTAACAGCCAGCGTGTTCTGTGTCATGTTTTCGGATGCTCTTCGGTAAGTGATGTACACTCGCTGCGAGGAGGCACTGCCACTGATGTTAGCAGGCCGACCGTAGGGAGTGGTTTGAATTATTTCACAACCTTGCTTTACTCTTTCTTTCCCATCATATAAAACCCTGGTTGAAACAGGATGAGCAGAAGTTAGAAGGCACATCTTCTTTAAACACTTTGAATACTAATATTACACTAAGAACTACAACTGAATAGTATTAATTTAACAGCAGCTCTTGTCTCACCTCTGATCAAAACATGTTTATGGACAAGTTCAGGTCAAATTATACCCAGCTTCTTACAGAACAGCTTTGTGATGAAACTATACTAGTTTCCACATGCATAATCACTTTAAAGTGTTTTGTTTACTGCAAGATAGTGTTATTTTCAATTCTATTAAAGATTCATTGCCTGATCCGAGGAACATCATAAAACTCATCTCTTTTCAATCTGTATTAAATAGGTTAAGCATCTTATCTCAACCCAAATATATACATTGAAAATTATAAATGGCTTTGAAAACTCTGAAATGCAAAGGATTACAGTCATCATTTAAATACACTCACCATGCATTTTTCCTACCATATTGGTTACAGTATGCTCAAGTTAACAAGTATCTTCCAGTTTAGAGTTTTGCCTTATACTAAAAAAGTATAATATTTCAAGAAATCTGCTTTATTTGCCCATTAGTCAAATAAAACTGCCAAAATCACCTACTGGAACCAAAAACCACTCACCCCAAATCAGTAAGTGGGGGCTTATCCCTTCCTCGGCGATAACAAAGGTACATTTGTGGTCCTACAAGACTGCCATTATTGAGATCTGCAGACAGTCCTGAGGGAGTAACATCTATACATTTATATCCCTGAGGAACTTCCTCCCCCAGAGATTTATTAAGTACTGTTACATCTGTAATAGGTTCTTTTGGTTTAGCGATTTTATGGCAAGCATCATTGAAGTGGATTTCTTCCTCTAGTGGTTTGGAAATATCTGTTAGTCCTGCGACAACAAAGTAGTCAGCAACACGAGCCCCTTTGTCTTCCATCTTCCATTACAAGATGCTCTAACTGGTAAGAAAGAAATGAGTATCAGTATGTTTAAAGGCAATTATAAGATACCAGAAATAAGAAAATTGTATTTATTGTTACAAAACTTGCAGTAACATAAATGAAAACAAAATAGAAGAATAGAAAAAAAAAAAAGAGAGATCCATCATCAGATCATGTAGCATTTTTCATCTGTAACCCCAGTCTCTCTCCAATTTGGAAATCTGAGCCACAATCATGTGAGTTAATTGTTAAATCTTGGAATGGAAAACCCAAGTGGCCTCTTTTTGTGAACTTATACATCAGAGGAACTGAATCAACAGGAACAGGAACAGCAACAGCAAAATGCTGTGCAAAGTTTTGCAAATAGTTCACCACTGGTGAGTAGTTTGACCGAGACAAAAAAGTTCACATGTATTTTGCATATAGTCTATTACCACACTCTGTTCACCGTGACAATGGATCTTCTAAGACATGATGTGCAACTAATTTGCTTCCTGAATATTAAATATATATGCAAAGGCTGTCTTGATTAATTTAAAGATATAACATTTGCAGCTATCGCATCAGATACCAAGGCCAGATCTTCTTGGAGTATTTTTGTAGGCCAGAAATTGATGTAATGTTATTTTTATAGCATCTGGGGGCTCAGATCCTTGGCATAAACCCATCCAGAGCCAGCAATATACCAGCTTTTATCCCAAACCTTTAAAGCAAGTCAACTTCAATGGACTATACACCACTGTGAAACAAAAACATTCAAGACCACATGAAGTTTGCCATAATAAGAAGGAACACAGTCCTGCTGTTCCAGCCAAATTGTATGGGGAAATTACATTCTTCCTGGAACATATTGATTAAAAAACCCCAACTTTATGTATAATTCTTTCTGTATAGTTGTTTTTGGGGCTCTTTTTGCAATGTTTGCTGCCAGTGTTGTAAATTAACTTCAGCACAGGACAAAATAATATCTGTAGAATGAAAAGATGGCCTTGCAAAGAGTATGTGCACCACATAGCAGGAGACTGAGTTTCCTCTCAGACACTCTTCAATACTATTGCAAGTCACTTAAATCCCATGTCTTATTTTCTTATTTAATAGCTTGATTTTGCAAGGAAAGA